TCTTTTCTGGGTGTGCAGAGTAAGCACGTTATCAGCTGTATGATCTCTTGAGGTCCCAACCTTATCTTTTTGTTTTGGGGCCACATACTGTGATGCTCAGGGCTTACTCATGACTCGGCACTCAGGAATTACTGCTGGTGATGCTGGGGACCATGTGTGATGCAGGGGATTGAACCCATGTAGGGCGCTTGCAAGCACCCAACCCACTATTGCTATGACCCACCTCCCAACCTTTTCTTTTTTAATGATCTGTTTATTTTTTAAAATTTAGGTACTATGATTGGCAATATTGTTAGTCATAGGGTTTGAACGCATACAAAGTCCCAACACCATGGCCCCCACCAGATTTCCTCCTCAATCTACCCTTTTCCCCCCCAATTTCCCCCTATTGAGACACTGTGATTTACATAGTTGTTAACAACAGGAGTTTGCAATGTTCTAGTCCCCCAGTGTCCCCATCCCTCCATGCTGTCCTAAGTCCTTGCCACATACATTTCCAAGTTTAACTGCTGTAGGGTCAGAGAGATAGAGGGGAAGGCACTGGCCTTGCACAGAGCCATCCTGGGAGGCACCTCACATGGTCCCTGGGAGCCGGCCAAGAGTGCTCCTGTGAGCAGAGACAGGAGTAAACCCTGGGCATCGGGTGTTGTAGTTTGGGTTCCATGCTTCAAGTCGTGTAGTACACAGCTAGTGGTTCAGCTACATATAGACACTTTGCCTCTATATGACAAAGGGCCCCCTGACCCTTGTTGCTATGTTATTTCCAGATCTCTTCTTGTTTCTTCCCTCCATTTCTTTGCTTCCTTGGCATTTTGCTTTCGGTAATCTATATGAAGAAAGTCTGGAGAAGGAGATAATCTAGCCCTTCTTGGTCGTTTCTTAATTAGGTGACCTCTCTCCATTCCTTATTGATTGGTCAGAATTCCTTATACAATCTAGACTCAGCCCTTTCAAGACACATATATAACAAACACACATGTACAACATATACCTTCTCCAGCTATAAACACAACTTTTAAGACTTATGGGTCCTATGAATCATTACTTTTAATTGATAAAACTTGCTATTCACTCTTATATAGTGTGTACATGTATAGTTATAAATAGCACTTTGACATTTGGTCCATAAAGTTATTTTTATATTCATGAATGTATAGGGCATAGCATGGTGCCTGAAAGACTGAGAACCTTTAATTCCCCCCGACCCCCCCCCCCCCAGGACAGGCTTAACGTTATTTATGAGCTTTGAAACTTAACATAGGAGAACAATGTAATGAGGTTGCACAGAAAGAGGGTGAGCAAGTACTGGTACTATCAAATGATAGCAAAATTAAAAAAAAATCTCTTAACTTGAAGCTTCTCTGGAACTCCAATCAAAATTAATTGTTGCTTCTGCTTCCAAAGTTATGGACTTGTTATGTACCTTTATTTTTCCAATATCTGAGCCCAAAGAATGCCTTAGCTGCATTTTTTTTTAAATTCTGAACTCTGGAGAAAAGGATTGAGTCTTCAAACACACTTGGGCTGGAGCGATAGCACAGCGGGTAGGGCATTCGCCTTACACGCGGCCAACATGGCCGACCCGAGTTTGATTCCTCCGCCCCTCTCGGAGAGCCTGGCAAGCTACCGAGAGTATTCGATATGCCAGACACAGTAACAACAAAGTCTCCAATGGAGACGTTACTGGGCCCGCTCGAGCAAATCGACGATCAACGGGAGGGCCTTTACCTTTTACCTTTACCTTCAAACACACTTAACATCCACATGATCCATCAGTTCTGCTGTTTTCAACACTCGCTTTTGCATGTAAGACCACAGTCAACAAATCACAAACTAGCTCCTCCACACTTAGGGCCAGGTGAGGAAGGCTGCCTGGTGGCAGTGCCTGCCTCAGGAGCAGCACTTCACCTTTAATGTCTGTTAGACGAGGGTCTGGATCTATAGTACAGCGGGTAGGGCATTTGCCTTGCACGCGGCCGATCTGGGTTTGATTCCCAGCAGCCCATATGGTCCCCTGAGCACCACCAGGAATAATTCCTGAGTGCATGAGCCAGGAGTAACCCTTGTGCCTCGCCGGGTGTGACCCAAAAATTAAAAAAAAAAAAGTCTGTTAGATAGATGAGAACTTTTCCAAGTGGATTTTCACTCCCTTAAAGTAAAAAAAAAAAAAAAAATTAAGACTTTCAGTTTAATTACAGCTGATTATTTTCTGCAAACTCTGTCTTTAGATTTTGAATGCATTCAGATTTACACATTGCAAATGATGGTTTCTGTTATTATGAAAATGACAAAAATAAATACGGGACTTGGAGAGACAGTTCTAGAAGCGAATCCTGAGGACAGGCAGGAGCAGCTCCTGAACACAGGGAGGTATAGCACAAGAGCAATCTAAAGAAGGACAGAATCTCCAATCTGTTCCACAAAGCTCTGAGTTCCCATGATGCTACATAATCAAAGGCTAGCCCATTTGCTTGTTGTTGGGTTTAGGCATGTCGTGCTGGGGACCATAGCCAGGCCCCCTGCCTCATGAGCAAGTCCTCTGCCCCTCGACTAACTCTCTGGCCCATTCCATTTTGCTTTCATTTTGGGGACATGCTGGATCTGCTTAGGGCTTACACCTGGCTCTGTGCTTAGGGGTCACACCACCCAATGTGGTGCCGGGTTCAAACCCAAGTCTGATATGTGCAAGGAAAATGCCTGACCTGCTGTACTAATCTCTCTGACCTGTTTCTTCATCTATCAGATGAGGAAGTCGCCTTTTTTATATTCTTCGTGCTTTTTTTTTTTTTTTGTGCTCCACTAGAGTTAAGCTGATTTTTGTTTAGGTGATGAAATGTTTTTCTAAGTGAATACTGAATTCGCTTTTCCCTTGAAAGTTAGAAATAGTATAAACTTCAAATGCTATTAAATATTCAAAACAGTTCATCAAAATGTCACGGTATTTTCTTTTTACCCTTCAAGTTTTTATCAGCTTGAAATGATCCAGAGGAAGATCACAGACATGATTCTTTTTTTTCTTCTTTTTGGGTCACACCCGGTGATGCACAGGGGTTACTCCTGGCTTTGCACTCAGAGAATTACTCCTGGTAGTGTTCAGGGAACCACATGGGATGCTGGGAATCGAACCCCGATCAGCTGCGTGCAAGTACCTACTGTACTATTGCTCTAGCCCCCACTGACATGATTCTTGAGGACTTTGCTTTAAAAATTCTAGCAAAGGTTCCTTTGGCATCCACCATCTATGGCAGAATCATTGCCAGGACAAAGATTTTTGTGAAAGTTCTTATGAGGGACAATCACTCTTAAAACTGAACCTTTGGTCAACCAATAGAAAATGTGAAGGGTAAGATCCAGGATGAAGAATTCCTCTTGCTCAGAAATCTTGGCAAACAGCCGGGAATTGGCCTGTCTAAGGAAACATTCAACAGAAACCTGCTCTTAATCTTGTCTTGCTAGTAGTACCCAGAAAAGGATGATGTCTACAGCACTCAAATATGCATGACCTATTACAGGTTATAGGACAGGTTACGTGGCTGTCCTGAAATACTGTTAGGGGGTATAAGAACACAGTCACTTACACCTTGGTTGGGAGTACACTTCAGGTTAATGCTGTGCAGTGTTTAGGAACTACCACTTTGACAGTTGTCACTGTGGCAAGTGTCTGGTTTATTATGTGCTTCCACAAACCAGAAGACAAGTAATTAATTGTATATGGGCTAAGAAAAAATGAACAGCAGCCACAAAAATTTCAGCATAGGAAAAAGAGGATAGTTCATAACAGGATTTAAAAGGTCCGTCATTTCTAAAATTTGAGGTTGTTATATTCTTCTATCTTCAATATTTTCTACAACAAAAAGTTTAAAAAAATAAAATTTGGGGGGCCCTACTTGGGTGTGCTGAGGGCTTACTGCTGGCTCTGCCTGCACTAAGGAATCACTCCTGGCAAGCTCCGGGGGCCATATGAGATTGAACCTGGGTTGGCTGCGAACGAGACAAGTGCTCTACTAGCTGTACTATCGCTCAGGACCCCTAAAAAAATATTTAAAAAGTCTTTTTTAGGGCCAGGAAGCAGGAGTGCATAGGGTTTGATCCCAGACACGCCTGATGCTTCCAGCAGCATTTTTACTGGCACAGCCTCCAGTTACCTGTGGGAGTGGCCCCCAGCTCCGGGTAAGGCCCAGTAATTTAGAAAATATCTATGTACGTATATCGGGGCTGGAGTGATAAGACAGTGGAATAGGGCGTTTGCTTTGCAAAATGCTGACCCGTGTTCCATCACAGGCACCCGGTATGGTCCCCAGAGCCCTGCCGGGAGGGATGCCTGGGCACCACCAGGTGCGGCCCCCAAGTCACATAGCCTACCCTGCAGGACACCCTTTGCTTATGCATCTGAGATCTTCTGACCACCCGAGGGAAATGCACAACCAGTTCCTTCGCAGACCGCGGCCACCTGTCAATAGGCTTCTTTTTGATCCCTCTTCTTTTTTGAGGCTAGGCTTAGCCCTTCCGATGACCCAGCAGCAGCCTGTAACAGGGATCGAGCGACTTCGTATGTGTGCAGTCCTTGGCCTTGCACACCAACCTCACCCTTGGGGCCGGGCAGAGGAGGGGATCGCCCCGTTTTGGCTTGCTGACCACCAGAAACGGGCCGCCCCCTGGACCCCAACAAATCGCCACGTGGCGCACTTCGGGAGGGATCGAGCGGGGCGTCGGTGAGTGGCACCCCGACTCCCGGGGAAAGGAACGGAGTGTGCCCGAGTCCAGCTTCCGACGGCAGCTCCGGGAGAGTGGGGGGGCCGGGAAAAAAAAAAAAGGAAAAAAAAAAGCCGGCGGCGACGGGCCGGCCGGCCGGCCGCGCCCCCCCGCCCCGCCCCGAGGGCGGAGACCCGGCCCCGGCGCGCGCTCGTCCGCCTGCGGCCCGCGGCCCCGCGCGAGCGGCGCATGTGCCCGCCCCTCCCCCGCCCTGGAGCCCGCCGCCCCGCCGCTCGCGCCGCAGTCGCCGCCCGGCCCGGGCCCCGCGCCGCCGCCGCCGCCGCCCGACGCCATGGCCGGCACGCGCTGGGTCCTCGGGGCGCTGCTCCGGGGCTGCGGCTGCAACTGCAGCAGCTGCCGCGGCGCGGGCGCCGCCTGCCTGCCCTTCCCCGCGGCCGCCGGCTCCTTCCCGTCGGCCGTGTCGGGCCGCCGCCGCCTGCTGCTGCTGCTCGGCGCCGCCGCGGCCGCCGCGTCGCCCCCGCGGGGCCTGCACACGCGGCCGGGGCCCTCGGCCGCCTGCTACCCGGCCCTGCGCCCCCCGCTGCTGTCGCCCTCGCTGGTGGCGGCGGCGGCGGCGGCGGTCGCGGCGGCGGCGGCCGGCCCGGCGCGCGGCTACGGCCAGGTACGTGGGGCGCCGCGAGGGGCCGCGCGCGCGGGACCCTTCCTCCCCGGGCGCGCGCTCGCGCTCGCGCACGCGCACGCGCCCCCGCCAGCGCGCCGGGGAGCCGCGGCCGGCGCCGCCGCACGCCTCCCTCCCCTTCGCCGGCCCAGTGCTCCGATTGGGCCCCCCGCCACAAGGGCCGGTCTCGCAGGCCGCGGTCTCCTCCTGGTTTTGTTCTCCCCTCCAGCCTCCGCTCGGGTTGGGCTGTGCGAGTCAATGTGGCTGGGGGCGAATGTTGAGGCCTGGTTTCCCGCCGACCCATGGTAGGTGCCGGGGGAGGCTGCGGGCGCCCCCCACCCCCACCCCACACACCGCCCCGCGCGCCTCCGCTCCCACCCCCCATCCCTTCCTCCTCCCCAGCCCCCCGCGGGACCCCGCCGAGGGCCGGGAGTCGGCGGTGCAGCCCCGGCGCTAGGCCGGCGGCGCGGCCTCCGGGGATGGGGCAGCGGCGCGGCCCCGGGGTGGGGGGCGGAGGCCGGAGCCCGCGCGCTCGCTCGCTCGCTCGCCCGGGGCCCCGGGCCCCGGGTCCCGGCCCCGCGCACTGAAGGTCACCTCTGCATGAACTCTTCGGGGACGGAAGGTCCTTTAGGACCACGGGTCACCGCCAGACGGGCCGGACAGTTTGCAGACCGAGGCTGGGGGGAGGGGAGCGCGGCGGCGCGGGCGGGGGAGGAGATCGCGGTCCGGAGGCCACGGAGTGGGGGCGGCGGGGTGGGGGGGTGGGGAGCGGCGCGGTGGGGTGGGGGGAGCGGGCGGGAGGTCGGGATTTTCGGGAGGAGGAAAAGCCAAAGGCGATGATGTGTGGTTTCAGGCCTTCCTGCCAGCGGGTTTTTTTTTTTTTTTTTTTTGTATTTGTACCTTGCGCGGAGCTGGAGTTGGGCTCGTTACGTGGCATCCGGGACGCGTCCACACGCTTCGGGGCTACGCAGCGGCTCGTGGTTTGGGGCCATCGATTATCTTAATCATCCAGTCGGTGCATCCACTTGAATCTTAAGAAAACGGGAGGCTGCCCGTGGGCTGAGCTCGGAGATTTGAATCCTGGCCCTTTGCTGTTTAAAACAAATAAATAAAGCTTGTGATGCTTATGGGATATGGGAGGGGGGGGCCGGGGGAGGAGTGGCGAATGTCGCCTTTATTGCTTTAAAAAAAAAAAGCAACCCCAAACCGCACAGCTGTAATAAGTCTTTGTGAGCAGACCGCTTTCTTCGCTTGTTTCTCTTGCCTTTTATTTTTTTTTAATTTCTCCCCCCCCCCCCCCCCCCCCCGCCCGTGAAATTGACTGCGGATATCTGTTGAGCCTTGGCCTCTGCTGGTATTTGACACAGTTCTTACGTGTCGATGCTGGACTCTGAAATATTACGCAGATCTGCCCGAAATTTTAAGGACACAGAAAGGAATGAAGCGTCTCCTTAGCCTACTGGAATGCAAATCACCTAAAGCCCGAGTTGCCTTCCCACACTGAAAATTGTAGAGCTTGTTGCTTTCTTATTTAAGTACATGCTAGACCTCGCCAGAGATTACCAGTTATCATGGGCTCCGTATATATATTTGTTGTTGTTGTTTTGGGGCCACAACCGGCGATGCTCAGCGCTTGCTGCTGCCTGTGTGCAGGCATCGCTCCTGGCAGGGCGCCAGGGACCATATGGGGTGCGGAGGTGGGGGGGGGATAGAACCTTGGTCAGCTGTGTGCAAGGCAAATGCACTGTCGCCCGCTGTACTGTCACTCTAGCCCCTCCTTACATTCTAGTTATCAATCCCTGTGTAAATGATTGAGAAACAAGTCTCTGTCCTTAACCCCCAGTAGAGAGCAAGTCTTTAAAAATCTGAGTTGGTCTCCTGGTCAGGGGTTTGTTGGATTTCTTACTAAATTTCAGTTTTGGTTTTGTCCAGTAAAATATGTTTTTTTAGTTATATGCTTTAGACTCTTGTTACCTCACTACCATTAGTGCCTTTTATGATCTTTTTTTTTCTTCTTCGGTTGGCAGATTCATCTCTCCAAGCATCCTTCTTTGTCGTTGATTTACCCATTAGTAAATATCTTTATTTTTTAAAAACTTCCCTTTTGCCTACCAGGTTAAGAACAATAATTTAAGCAAGGTCCTTGGCTATTTGGTAAATAAGAGTGTCGCCCTTTCACCAGTGAACTTTTGTTTTTATACTGCTTTATCCCTCACCTCTGAAATTGGAGGCTCTATCTATATCTGTCACTGTAATTACTTCTGTCAGGAACCTCTCCTACCTTGATCCTATTCCTATTTAGAATTCCATAATATCTGGAATCATAGTGGTTGTTTTTTGACATGAGAGTATTTGTAGTGGCACAAGGTGATTAGGCGACCATTGTATTTGTTATATTGAAGGAACCACTTTTCTCCCTTGTTGACTAAAACACACATAAGATACAATTGGGACTGGTGAATTTGAGAATAAGCCCCGAATAAAATTTGTCTAGCCAAACCATTCGATATAACTGCTTGTTGCTTTAAGATGTGCAATTTAGAATAGGGAGTTAGATTTGTGATGTTTACTTCTTACCTCCGAAATAGTAACTGCTTCCTAAATAACACCAAGAGCATTAGCTTGTGAAAATAAACATTTCTAAGTGGGCTGTCAGAAATATTTTTACAATTCTCTATTTCTTTTGGAAGGAGTCCAAAACTACCTACTTGGAAGACCTTCCACCTCTCCCCGAGTATGAAGTGGCTCCCACCAAGTTAGGAGAGGAAGTGGATGATGTTTATCTGATTCGAGCTCAAGGATTACCATGGTCCTGCACTGTAGAAGATGTGCTTAACTTTTTCTCAGGTATATATTATGTTTATCTTAAATTGATAACATTTGCATTGTAAGAGATAGATCTCAAAATCTAAGTTAGACTCTGCTGTACACATCCTGTTTGTTGATTGGGAATCGTCATATTCTAGCTTGTCACATCTGCACACCAAGTGACAGTCTGTGTACCATGATTTATACCATGCTTAAAGAGGTGGTTTTTTTGTTGTTGTTGTTGTTTTGTTTTTTGTTTTCTTGGGCCTCACCTGGCAGTACTCAGGGATTACTCCTGGTCTGCCCTCAGGAATCACTCCTGGCAGTGCATTGGGGACCATATGGGATGCCAGGGATCAAACCCAGGTTTGCCGCTTGCAAAGCAAGCATCTTACCTGCTGTACACTCTCTCTGGCTCCTAAGGACTTTAACAAAAGTCCTTCATGTTAAAATTACATGGTATGAAGCCAGTTTTATTTTGTTTTTTTGTGGGATTCTTTCTTTTTTGGGGGGGGCGGTTTGTACCCAATGATGCTTTGAGCTTACTCCTGGCTCTGTACTCATGAATAATTCCAGGTGGGCTTCGGAGGTCCACATGGGATTCTGAGGCTTGAACCCTTGCTGCTTGCAAGAAAAATACCCTGCCCCTGTGCTATCTTTTCAACCCCATTTTTGGGAAAATTTTTGTTTATATGTTTGGGTCATATGTGGCAGTACTCAGGGCTTACTCCTGGCTCTGTACTCAAGGATCATTTCTGGTGGTGCTTTGGGAACCGCATGGGGATCCTGGATGGAGCCTGGGTTGCGCTGTACCTGGTTCCGTCTCTTTGATTTTTTGATTTGCACTCAAGGCACACAAGGCTCACCAGCCAGAAGGGACTCCAGCACATAGACAGGAATAGCCTCTGAGCACCTCCAGGTTTGGCAAAAGAAAAAAAAAGAAATGGAAAAGATTGTTTGTTCATGGAAATAGAAAGTTTAATAGCTCTGTATGTAGTAGAAATAGAAGGTTTATAGCTCTTTATGTAATAGGAACATTTTTTAATACAGTATCACTTAATATCAAGTGTAATTTCCCTTAATAAAATGTCTGAAATTCATTTAGTTTTTCATTTAATTCTTGTTTTGGGGGTCACACCTGGTGATGCTCGGAGTTACGCCTGGCTTACACTCAGGAATTACTTCTGGCGGTGCTCAGGGGACCATATGGGATGCTGGGGGTTGAACCCAGATCAATTGGGTGCACGGCAAACGTCCTACCTGGCCCTCTTTAATATTTTAGTTCTTAATTACAATTTTTCTCTCTTAAGCTGAGTTTCACGTTTTGTTCGGTTTGGTTTTTGGGCCATGCTCATCAGTGCATAGGACTGACTTCTGGTTCTGTTCTCAGGCATCACTCTTGGCTTTGGGGACCTTATTGTGTGCCTGGGATCAAACCCAGACAGCCTCCATGCAAGACAAGAACCGTGCCTGCAGTGCTGTCTATCACTCAGGTCCCTTTTAGGAGGTTTTTAGACTCTACCACCTCCATTTTTCAGAATAGGGTAGCAGAATATAAAAGACTTCAATATTGTGTGGGTCAAGCATTTTATAAAGCCACCTACATCTTCAGCTTGCATCTATTATATGAAGTGTTCAGTATGGAGATCTCTTTCCTTGATAATGAAAGAGTGTTTAAGTTAGGAGTACAAAATTACTACTTGGGGAGACCATACCCCAGTTGTGCTTGGGGTACCATGCAGTGCCAGGGATCCAACCCAGGGCTTCTTCATGCAACACATGTACTTCAGTCTCCTTTGCACCTGCACGATTATTTTTGTAGTTAGTATTTTAGAGCAGTGTTTCTCAACCATTTTAGGACTGGGGCCCCTCTTCCACCTTGTTTTCTTCTGACGCCGTACTGTCCTACTGGTTGGCAGTGTGATGACTCCCTTACTTAAATAATTTTCACTTGAGGCCCCTTTGGAATATCCTGGGGGCTCACAGGGCTCCAGTATAGATCTTATTTGAGAAATACTGCTTTAGAATTCTTAACAGTAATTAAAAAAAAAAAGACATTCATCTTTATGTTTTGATTCGTAAAGTGATTTGAAACATGGATTGAACACAAGACATTTCATGTTGAACGTAGTTTGTAATGCCATTTAATGGTTAGGAGAGTCTAGGTTTTTGTGCTAGGGTTTGTCTCTTTTATTTGGTATATTTTATAATCTGCCATCTCATTCGCATTTGGATGACTTCAGTGATGAGGTTTCTGGAAGGACTATGAAAGGCATTTTGGTTGCTGCTTCCTTTTGTTTTGGAAGGTTGCACTGTAATACCGTAATTGAGCTGAAAGTTGGTTTCTGATTGTAATTAATTTTACTCACATACTTTTAGACTGCAGAATCCGCAATGGTGAGAATGGAATACACTTCCTGTTAAACAGAGATGGGAAACGAAGGGGTGATGCCTTAATTGAAATGGAGTCTGACCAGGATGTGCAAAAAGCCTTAGAAAAGCACCGTATGTACATGGGGCAGCGGTATGTGGAAGGTATGTAAAGTTTGTTTCGACTTTTTAAGATTACCGTGTGAGACTTCATATTTTCTAAAGTATTTTTCATTTGATCCTTAGCAGTATTTGTGAATATGCTTTTACGGGATGTGAAAATGAAACACAGAGAATAATTAATTCCTTCCCTATAAATGACAGTGTTGACCATGACTTGTCACTACCTGAATTACGATGTTTAAATGCGTTTTGCCTGGCACATAGTAAATGTGCAGTAAATGTCATTTGTCTTTTTTTGTTAGCTATGACAGTAAAGGTTAAAAATAATAGTTTGAAGTTCTTCAGTTACACACTAAGTGGCATTGTGTTTTCTTATTTTTTTAAATTTTTTTCAATATTTTTAAATTCATTTCTTTTTTTTTAAATTAAAAAATTTTTTTTTTTATTTTTAGTGAAACACCATGAGGTACAGTTGTAGATTTACAATTTTTTGTGCTTGGGTTTCGATTATACAATGATCAAATATCATGTTTTCTTATTTTTAGAGGACTTGTTCCTCTTTTTTAATCTAAATTCTGGGTATCTTTCCTTCCTTTTCTTTGTAGTGTATGAGATAAACAACGAAGATGTGGATGCCTTAATGAAGAGCCTTCAGGTCAAATCTACGCCCGTGGTAAATGATGGTGTGGTTCGTTTGAGAGGACTTCCTTATAGTTGCAACGAGAAGGACATCGTAGACTTTTTTGCAGGTGCGTTTCAGTTTTGTCATGTTTGTGGCCTCATCTTTTTATTTTTTTTCCCTCTGTATCTTAGGTTAGCCTAGATAATAGCATGGAAATACATCAGGTTTATTAGGGGAGAGCTTCTCATTTAGATTTCTAGTCTTTATAAGTTACATAATGTGGGTTTTGGGGAGGGAGGGGACACTGAGCAGGACTCGGGCTGCTTACGGGCCCGTGTTTGGGGTGTCTTCCTGCAGGGCTCAGCGACCAGGTGGTGCAGGGATAGAATTCTCTGGCATCCTGCATGCAGAGAAGTCTCAGCCTGTTGGTCCTATATTCTATGTGTTTCAATTTAAGCTTATCTTTAGGTGCTATCAGCTCTCAAGAGGGTTCACGCATACTGAAGAAAATAGCCTATTGTGATAGCCATTTGTATGATTGGAAATCGTTTTCAAATTCCTAGTCGTGAAATAGGCACGTTTAATAAATTACTACTTTCACTTAATACTTAATGGCTAAAAGAGAGAATCTTATTTATTGCAGTGCTGGAGATTGAATCCAGGGCCTTATACATGCATGGCATGTGCTCTGCCACTGAGGCACATCCTCACCCAATTATTATGTTTCAGTTAGACTGCTTCTCTTGAGTGGTACTGAAGTACAGATACGCAGGTTGTTAGTAGCTATAGGCTGCTTAGTAATTTTGTTTGCATTAAGACAGTTTTTGGGACTGGCAAAATAGCCCCATAATTCTCTGGCAAAACAGTCCCCAAATTTGCTCATGAAATAGATGACTAATTAATAATTGTGAGTGTGTTAATGCTAAGGATTAAGGACATTCATTAGCATTAATGTTTTACTTATTCTTTGATGTCCTAGGACTAAATATAGTAGACATTACTTTCGTTATGGACTACAGAGGGAGAAGAAAAACAGGAGAAGCCTACGTGCAGTTTGAAGAACCGGAAATGGCTAACCAAGCCCTGTTGAAACACAGGGAAGAAATTGGTAACCGGTGAGCGGAGCGGATACTAATGATGCGGAAGAAACATTGAGAATTTTAGTGATTGTCCTATATATAAAAATGACGGAAATTGAACACAGGAAATAGAATATGATGACTGTCAAATGCCCACAATTAGTTGCTAATTAGCTGTATTTGCTGAATTTTCCTGTATTCTATATAGACACGTCAGTGTGATATATCACTTTATATATACTACTATCACTATCCTCCTGTTGTTCATCGATTTGCTCGAGCGGGCGCAGTAACTAACGTCTCCATTGGAGACTTTGTTGTTACTGTGTTTGGCATATTGAATACGTCACGGGGAGCTTGCCAGGCTTTGCCATGTGGGTGAGATACTCGGTAGCTTGCCGGGCTCTCTGAGAGGAGCCAAGGAATCGAACTCGGGTCGGCCAATATATATTACATATACACATATATGTATTTTTTCCCCCTCTCTTTTAGCAGGGCCATTCCTATTGGGGTATCGGCATGTTGTTCCATTAGATTGGACTCGGGGCCTCACATGTTATACCTGTGCCTTATCGCTTCAGCCATGTCCTTGACCTTAGTATACATTTTTAAAATAAAAGACATTTTCCTGGGGTGAGGAGGATGCTTATGGGGCTGAGGCATGTGGTTTCATGTGGGAACTGTGTGTTTTACCTCTGAACTTCATGTTCCTCCCAGACTTCCCCTGGGAGTAGCCCCTGAGCACCACTGACCATACCCCAAAGCAGGAAAGTACAAGGACAGTTATGATCACAGTATTATGCTATCTAATAAAATAAGTATTGTCGAATTCAGAAATTCTTCAATTAGTTCTATTTAAGACTTTGCTTTTGGATATTTATACATAATTTTGAGTAGCTTTTCAGATTGTATGTTGATACCGAATCAGAGGAATTTATTTCAAAATCACTCCTCCATTCAGTTTTGTGTCCACGATATGTGGTCTTAATCCACAGTTTTAAGGGATTAGAGACTAATAGTCTATAATCACATTATTTCAGTTGAACCAAAAGAAGATTTTGTCTTTTTTTTTTTTTTTTTTTGAGGGGGACCACAATGGTAGTGCTAAGGTCTATTCCTGGCTTTGTGCTTGGGACCATGTGATGCATAACCTGGGCCACCTGCATGCAAAGTATTTTCTCTCGCTCCACATTACATCTGTCTAACTGGAAAAGCAGTGTATGCAAAGCTATTTACCCCTTTCCCTTTCCTTTCATCACTTTATATTTCATAGTCACTATTGGAATACATTAGTGTTACCTTTTTATATTAAGGCAATATATTAATCTTTTTGGGTTTATAAATATAAATGAACTTAATTCAAAGTTAATAATCTTAATTTGGAAAAGTAATAGCGAGAAAAAGAAAGCTGGTTCTAGATGCCTGGATTTAATATAGTGATTGCATATCTCAAATGACAATTTATAAGTTCCTTTTATCTGCTTTGAGAGTGTTACGTTGTCATATATTGTGACTTAAAAAATTATTTTAATTGGTTTTGGGCTGTTCCTCGCGGATGGTTCCAGGATTGCTCCAGCTGTGCCTGTGACCTTGCGTGCTGGGACCAGCCCAGGCCCTCTGCCATGCAGGCGTGCACTCTGCTATTTGATCTCCCTCTCTCTGGTCCTATACTTTGACCTGTAGTATATTTTATTAATATGATTAGTTTTTTTAGAGTTGAATTATAAGACTTGGATATTGTTGCAACTGATAAAAAAACACAAAATCTTCGCACCATGTTAATTATAGGAAACAAGAATAACAAATACTAGTAAATTCTGTGTTTTTATTTCCTTTGATGATACAGGGATGCAACTTAAGTCCTCATACTGGTGAGGCTCGTGCTCTGCCACTGAGCTGCAGCCCTGCCTACTTAAAATTAAGTGAAGAAAATTTGGAGGGCTGGAGTGATAGTACACCGGGGAGGGCATTTGCCTTGCATATGGCCGACCTGGGTTCAATCCCTGGCATCCCATATGGTCCCCCGAGCACTGCCAGGAGTAATTCCTTAGTGCAGAGCCTGGGTGAATATATCTATTTTATAGTCTGGGTATTAAATCCAGGACTTCCCTGAGCTAGTTGGGCTTCCCTAATAGAGCTATTCTGACTTGAGTTTTCTCCTACCTGCTACTTTTAAACAGCCATGTTTCATAAACTGTGAAAATAACATGCTTTTTTTTGGGGGGGGGGCACTCAAGGGCATCATACGTGGATCTATGCACAGAAGTGACCCTGAGTGTTGTTCAGGAGACATGTGTGATAGGGAGCTGGGGATTCAAACTAGGGTCAGCCACATGCAAGGCAAGCATCTTGCTATCTCTTTGGGTTCCTGTGCATTTTTGTTTTAATGAGTTTAGTTTGTACCATTTGTGCCTGCTGGCTTTTCTTTCTGACATAGATACATAGAGATATTTCCAAGCAGAAGAAATGAAGTGCGAACCCATGTTGGTTCTCATAAGGGAAAGAAAATGGCATCTTCTCCTACTGCTAAGTATATCACAGAGCCAGAAATGGTCTTTGAAGAACACGAAGTAAATGAAGATATTCGACCCGCGACAGCTTTTGAAACTGAAAAAGAAATAGGTACAGGTTGGCTGCTTCTTTTCAGTTTATCTGTACCATTTCAACATTTGTGAAAATGTTTTCTAATTGTTTTGTATGTAGTCCTAAGGTTTTAGGAGAAGTTAAATTGAGGCAAAGATTTAACATATACTTTGAATATATGCAGAGAGGCCTAAGTACTAGTTTTTTGGGGGGTGTTGGGGTTTGTGATCACCCCCAGCAGTGCTTGGGTTACTCCTGGCTCTTGCTTAGGGGTCTCTCCTGCCGGTGCTCAGGGGATCGTATTGCGCTGCCAGGGATTCCATCCAGGGTCGGCTGAATGCACGGCAAGCACCTTGATCTTGGTACTATTTCTCTGGCCGCTCTACTTTTTAAAATTCAATTTTTATAGATTTTCAAAAGCTGGGTGGCATAAAATAACAGAAGTAAAATACCAACATTTAAACAGAGGTGGGGAAAGATGGGCCAAAACCCAGACAAGAACTAAAGACAAGTTTTGTTTTTGTCTGTATTTCTAATTCTTGACCCTCCGAAACAATTCTTTAGTCATTGTAGTGTGATAATCCTATTTTAACTGCTGTTCTCTGACCACATTTATTCTTCCTGTTTTTTTCAGTGCCTATAATCCAGGAAGTTTGTCTTTTTTCCTGATGATTTCTGACATAATCGTTTTACCTTCTCTGTTGTCACAGAGAGCTAGATTCTTAATCTGGTAGTAATTTAAGGCACTAAAAGTTGGGTGTTCCAGTGACTCTTTTTCCTTAATTTTATTTTCATGAGGTTGTTCCCACCACCATTATTTCGAATTTTCCCTCTACCATTCAAGGCTGCCTGCCAGGGGCAGATGCTAGATAATGTATTTCCTATTGCTTATTATGAATATCATAAGAGGTTGCGTGGCCACTTTTGTGCTTCTGGAATTCTAAAATTGTAAATGATTGGGGTCCAGAGACATCTCAATCAATTTTGTGATTCATTTGGGAGTCTGTGGACAAGGCCCTTGATGCACTGAGATGGTGCCTGGAGGCAGATTGTGGGTGTGACAGCCAGGACCCTAAGCTGACGGAAGGGCCAACCATCTCCGCAGCAGTCGTGTGGCGTGGGGTCTTAGTCCGTGAACCTATGTGCTGGATTTTGCTTCTGGAAGTTCGTAGCCATCGGGATTTTATCTGAGCAGTTCTGCTCCATCTGCAGTGCCCTGGTGGAACTGGCTCAGTGCGGGATCTCTCCGGCAAGCTGCTATCTTCCAGAATGCTGTGTTTCTCTCCAGTGACTTTAAAATTTTTTTGCTGGGGGCGATTTCTTGCTCTACATTCAGGGATCATGATCCCTGACAGGCTAGGGGGACCTTACGAGGTATTGGGGATCACCCCTGGTCAGCTGAGTGCAAGGCAAGGGCCCTGCCTGCTGTATTATCACTCGAGTTGCTAAGGCAGTATTTCTATAGGTGGTGGGGATTTCAAATGATTGTCGCTTATGTTATTGAGGCCGTTAGTGTTCAGAGGAATTTAGGAATTGGAAATATTAGAATCTGTTAACTCCTGAAGCCTTTATATTCTTGACAGTGCTCTTTATTCCACCTCTCAGAATTGCCTAAGGAGATGCCAGAGAAGCTTCCAGAAGCTGTTGATTTTGGAACGACGCCTTCACTCCATTTTGTCCACATGAGAGGGTTGCCTTTCCAAGCCAATGCCCAAGACATTATAAACGTATGTGGCTGTAAGATATTTATTCTTAATAGGTTTGAGCAAAACGTTCTGAAATTGAACTTGTATTAATTTGGGCAGGGTAGAAAATAAAATTTCTGGTGTATCTTTGGATAGTTCAGAGGCAGCTTCATGTTGGTGGAGGTCTCTTTTGACTGCATTTTCTCCCCTCCCCCGCATGAAAACACTTGCATTACATCCTTCCTGCCCCCCCCCCCCCGCCCCTTCCGAATGACCATCAGCAGTAGGAGGTAGTTGTGAGAGCAGCCCCAGGGACCAGCTTCACAGAGCATCCTCTGGTTCCTCTTCGTGGCTTAGGGTGCTCTACACGATCAGAGAAACTTCTTCAGTAACTATAAACTTGATCCCCGAAAGTATGGTCTTGTTTTTCTTTCCTTTGGATTTTTTTTAAGCTGATAACTATGCATTTTATTATTTTAAGATCATACATAACAATACAAGAATTTTGGTTGTTTGGGTCCACACCTGGTGATGTTCAGGGGTTACTCCCTGCAATGCCGGGGATCGAACCTGGACCTTCTGCATCCAAACCGTGGGCTATAGCCCATTGGACTATTTCCCAGCCCCTACATAGGAGGGTTTTTTTAGTTGTAGAATATAGTATATGCTTAGTATTCAAAGTAACAAAAGTTTGATTATTTTTTTTTGTGTGTGTGTTTTGAATCACACCTGGCAATGCACAGTGGTTACTCCTGGCTCTACACTCAGGAATCATTCCTGACAGTGCTCAGGGAACCACATGGGATGTTGGGGCTCGAACCTGGGTTGACTGCGTGCAAGGCAAGCGCCCTACCCACTGTACTATTGCTCCAAGCCCCTGGGTTTTTTTTTTTTTTGGTCTAAGTTGATTCTGCCCTTTCATTTCTGAGTTTGGAAAACGTAAGACATGACAAAAATGTAAAAGAGCAATGACAAACATTTTTGGTTTGTTTTGTTTTTGTATGGGGGCTAAACCTGGGTGTGCTCAGGACTTCTGGTTCTCGGCTCAGGGGTCACTCACTCCTGGTGGTGCTTAGATGACCATATGCAACAGTGATTGGCATTGAATTGGGGTTGGCCACATGCAAGGTGAGCACCTTGACCCCTGTACTGTCTCTTCAGCATCAAACTTTGAACGTATTTTTGTTGGGGCCTGCACTGTAGCTTTGTGATAGAACTCCTGTCTTGCATGTTCAAAGCCCTGGTTTCAGTACCACCCAGAGTTGCAAAAGGTAAAGGTAAAGGCCCTCCCGTTGATCGTCGATTTGCTCGAGCGGGCCCAGTAACGTCTCCATTGGAGACTTTGTTGTTACTGTGTCTGGCATATCGAATAGGTCACGGGGAGCTTGCCAGGCTCTGCCGTGCGGGCGAGATACTCTCGGTAGCTTGCCGGGCTCTCCGAGAGGGGCGGAGGAATCGAACTCGGATCGGCCATGTTGGCCGCTTGTAAGGCGGTAAGCCCTACCCGCTGTGCTATCGCTCCAGCCCAGAGTTGCAAAAATTAATATTTTTTTAAAAAATAGTGTATGACATTTAAAAAATAGGGACAGAGTGATAGTACATTGGGTGGAATACAGGACTTGCATGTGGGCTGATGTTAGGAGTTCAGTCTCTGGCACCCCCATATTGCCCCCGCAGCATGACGAGGTGTGATCCCAGAGCACAGAGCCAGATGTGATCCAGAAACTAAGAGAAAAAAATTAAAGAGATTATTCTTGAATGCTTTTTTTTTCCTTTTTTTTCTTTGCTTCACACCCAGCCAATGCTCAGGGGTGGCTCTGCACTCAGGAGTTACTCCTGGCGGTGCTCAGGAGACCATATGGGATGCTGGGAATCGAACCCAGGTCGGCTGCATGCAAGGCAAATGCCCTACCCGCTGTGCTATCTCTGCAGCCCCTTGAATGCTTTTTTCTAAGTTCATGATGGTTTGTTACATACAGTATTCCAACACTAATCCCACCATCAATGCATCTTTCCACCACCATTTCCCGTTTTTCCAACCGCCACTCAAGGCTGCTCCAATAGCAGGCTCTGGATAATTTATTGTATATTGCTTGTTATAATTTGCTAAAAATGATCGAAAAAGGTTTCCTTAGAAGAAAGTGTGTGAAGATGGTTGTCTCTCACCCTGGAGCTATTAAGCCGTTGCATAAGAGATTACTAACGTGTTGTTACCGATTGAGCCTTGTGTGTTAACATTTTCTTAATTGAGATTGGTTGCCTTCTACTTTACATCCCATCCAGTGTGCTACTCTTGGTGTGTATCAGTGGTGTAGAGTATGAGACGTTGCTCCAAGAATTCTAAAATTTTGAATGAAGTGATAGGCTGGAGTTAAATTTTTAACTGGATGGTTATTTTGATGGTTATTCTGGAAGCATCTCTGCAGCTTGTTGCTCTCTTTCGAGATTTATGAATTTCTGGATCGTGGCTGATTAATGAGCTTATTTAGTGCCAGCCGGCTGACTTCTTGAATTTCATCATATATTTAATGTAGAATTAATGCAGAGCCTTCAGTTAATAGCCTTCAGTTAATCCAGAGTCATTTCAAAAGCCTACTGGGAATCTTTACTCCAGTAAAAGTACAGTGAGTTACTTGGCTTGGTTTAGAATGATAAAACACTCAGTGTAGTTATTCCACTTACGTGATCTTGATCAACTGCCAGGTATGTGCCTGATGAAAAAAATGGTCAGCAGTGAATCAGGAGCACATCCGAGGCTTAACTACCATTATAGTGCAATGCTATACCATTTAAAAAATTGTGAAAATAGGACCAAGGGATTCTGATGTTGGTGGTAGAATACCTTTCTTGTATATATAAGGCCCTGGGTTCTATCCCTAGCGTTGTCAAAAATATAGAATAGAAGAATTGTTGAAGGGGAAAAAAACGGTCACACTACCCCATCTATTAGTGGTGTTCCACCTCCTACCCCATCCACACCCCAATTATTGTGCCACCAGAGGTGGTGTTCAGGGCTTACTCCTGGCTCTGCACTCAGGAATTTACTTCTGGCAGTGCTCAGGGGAGCATATGGGATTCTGGGGATTAAACCTGGGTCTGCTGCGGTAGAGCAAATGCCCTGTTCGCTGTGTTATCTCTCCAGCCCCATCCGTCAGTGTGTATTAAGGTGAATGAGGACTCGATTGGAATGTTAGTTCTGGGGTTGCAAAATGTGAGATGGAAAATGTTTTTCTTAAAGTATGCAAGATTCTAAAAAATAATTAGGTCATGTGGTTAGGGGAAACAGAATAGGAAAAACTGAATTTGATTTTATGGGCTAAACATAACCCCATGATTACAATGTGTTTTGTTTTTTTTTTTAAAGATGATCCTTGTTTAAAGAAAGTTTTGGAATTATTTGTGTAGCATTGCATTTATGGTTTTTATTATTGGGAAGAGGTGTTTGGGCCACTCCTCGCACTGCCCAAGGACTTCAGCGCTTAGGGGACCATATGAGATGTCAGGCATCGAACCAGGCTTGGCTGTATACAAGCTAAGTGCCTTAACCCTAAGTGCCTTAACCCTTTCCGGTCCGATTTACGGTTTTTAGTACTCTGAATTGATACTACTTGAAGTGGAACCATAATTTTTAAGAAAACCAGAAGACGATATATCTATAATTGGCTTTGCTGTTTTAAAGGGAAATTTACTAAAATCAAATTGACCTGGTATTTGAATCAATGCAAAACAGTGGAGTTGGATAGCGAGCTCTGTGTGCTTGGTTCAGGCTCATACCCTGAGCACCACCAAGAGCAGTGTGGCTGAGAGGAGTAGCTCTGGAACAGTGCCGGGTGTGGCCCCGAAATGGAAGAAAGGAAGACTATTATATTTAAGATGGTCAGCAGACTTTGAGAGAGGAGGCTGAGGACCAGTATGGTCCTTGACTTCCTTTTCCCCTTGTGCAGTTTTTTGCTCCCCTGAAGCCTGTTAGAATCACCATGGAATACAGCTCTAGCGGGAAGGCCACGGGAGAAGCTGACGTGCACTTCGATACCCATGAGGATGCAGTCGCAGCCATGCTCAAGGACCGGTCTCATGTTCGTAAGTGCTGTCCATGGCTCCCAGGGTCATTTCTGTCTGAGCTTGAAAAGGCCTGTTTCTGTTTTGGAGTTTGCCTAGAATCTTTACTTTAAGATGTTACTGTTTATAATACTGCTAGATTAAATGCAATTAAAAGCCCCACTGTATTACAGTGAAAGTTATTAGTCTATTACCTTGCATGTTTCTACTCAGAAATTAATAGGATTTCAATTTAAAAAATTTGGGGCCAGAAAAATAGTACAGGGATCAAGTCACTTGCCTTCCATGTAGCCTATCCTAGTTCAAACCCTGGCATACATATGGTCCCTCTAAGCACTGCCAGGGGTGATCCTTGAGTACTGCTAGGTGTGGCCCACTATCACTGTGTCACTGTCATCCCGTTGTTCGTCGATTTGCTCAAGTGGTTGTCAGTAATGTTTCCATTCGCCCCTGGCTCGTGCTAGTGTAGCCCGATGGCGTATTGGGGGCTCTTTCAGGGTCAGGGGAATGAGGACTCTCATTGTTACTGTTTTTTGGCATATCAAGTATACCACAGGTAGCTTTCCAGGCTCTGCCGTGTGGATGGGATACTCTCGGTAGCTTGCCGGGCCCAGTAAGTAACAATTTTTTAAAAATTTTGTTTGATTTTGGGCCACATCTGGCATTGCAGGGCTCACTCTTGGCTTTGTGCTCAGAGATCACTCATGTACCTGGGATCATACCCCCGTTGACTATCCAAGGCAGCATCCCTGTCTTCAGTACTGTCTCACCAGCCCCCTGCATTTTTTGTTTTTAATTAGGCAAAGAAATGGACAAGTGATTTCAGTTTTTCTCTGATTATAATTATTACAGTGTGCTTGCCTTTTCAGAAAAATGAAACTTTTTTTTGTCATTCTTAGACCATAGGTATATTGAATTGTTCCTGAATTCATGTCCAAAAGGAAAATAGGACGACTTCTAAGGATTCCAGATAAACAGGTAAACTTAAGTGCAATTGTGGTGGCAATTTTGAGTTTGCAAATTCATTTAACTAATTTGTAATGTGGTGGAAACTATTAATTTTAGTTAAACCAATCATAGTTGAAATATTAATATAAGGAATGGAAATTGTCCTGGGAAATAGAATGCATTATGTAGTGGCTTTGAGAATTTTTTTTCTATAAAGTCTACTTTGTGTTATGCTGACCTTCATTATGGTGTGTGCCTAAAAATAATGGTTTTATCTTCACTGGGTCTAAATCATTGAACGCTAAATGTATTTTTCCAGTTCTCAGGTGTTTCAAATGAGACATTTTAAGCCAGAGTATCTTTGATATTTACATACATAGATTACAATTTTTAAATAAAAATATTATGCAAATGGTTGCTTGTCCTAGGAAGTCAGTTTGTGTTAAATATAACAAATGTATTTATCTTGATAAACCCTTCTTTGATCACATGTATTGTGGTACATTCCCCTATTTTTCAGTGTGTTGAAATACTTTGTCTTCATATAATCGTAGACTCCTTTGAGACTTAACTGTAATTTCTTGAAAGCAAATGGAAATTTTCAGTACTATAGTTATCTATAGTTATCATATGTAACTCTAGTTGTACTATAGTTTTTATAGGCAAGTTTTGGAAATAAGGCCCCACACTCTTGTGATGATAAGTAATTTGTGTTTGTGCTAAACTGAAAATTTCTACCTTTATACCAGATTGCAAAGACTAGTACCTAATTGGTTTTCTTCATGCTTAACTTGGTTTGCCAGATAAATTATCCTCAATTGGAAAAACTAATTTTTTTTAATTTGTAATTTTAAACAGTGTGGGAACTTGTGCAAATTTTTGCCATTTGAATAATTGTGCATCGTTTTTTGTTTCATTTTCAGGATGAAGCGAGAAGCATTTCATTTGCACATCTTTTTGGACGTGGGATATAAAGTTCCAGTTTCTCAGCAGCAACTGCTAGAGAAAGGATTTGGGGGCTTGGGGTTAATTGCTTCTAAGAAAAATTCCTTAGTGGACTGTTCAGAAAGGAAAAGAAAAGATTTAGTTGGGGTTTCCGAAATAAACCACAAATTAAATGAAAATTTAAACCACCCAGGATCTGATTTTAAAATCTGGTCTACATATGATTAAAGAGCTTGTTTTTGTAGAGGATATGTTGCCCAAAGTTAGGACTATACATTTTTATTCAGCACTATCCTTAAAAATCTTCTGCCTGTTTAAAAAGTTGTCTGTTGGGGGCCCGAGCGACGGTACGGCTGGTACGGCGCTTGCTTTTTGCAAGAGGCCAACCCAGCTTTGATCCCACCAGCATCCCATATGGTCCCCAGAGCCAGGAGCATCACTGGGTGTGGCCCAAAAGCAAAAACAACATGATCTGTTTGAGGTTTTTGTTTTTTGCCTATGAATTGAGCCCTCTAATATAAAACTCATGGAATAAATACCGATTTATTTTAACCAAGTACTCACCAAAGCAAGAAAACATTACACATCTTTGAGCCAGTATGTTCTGATGGAGTAGTTTTATTTTTAGGTGTATTTGATTACTTAGGGGGTAGAAATGGGGAAAAAAAGAAGACCAAAAAGGAAAAAAAATATAAAAGAATACTGCAGGTTAGTGAGTGTAAATGAGGACAGTTGGGCAGTTCCCTGTCTTTAGAAATGTTTCCTGTTTCCAAGCCTTGTGCTGAAGGCATGTGCCTGAATACTTGAGGAAGGAATTCTGAGATAAGCTTAAAAGTTGTCTGAACAGCTCCCCCCACCCCTTTGTTTTGTGTTTTTGGGTAAATCTTATGGGTGTGTGTTTAGTCCCAAAACTGTGAAGTGATCTGTCAAAACAGTCCTGCCCGGGAAGGACATTAATGGCTTCACTTGAATTTAAACCAGCTCTAGTAGGAAAAACCTAAGTCTCCTCATTTGCTTTTTTCAGTGGGGTAGCACATCCCATATTTTAGAACAAGTAGGGGTGCCTTGCTTAAATAAAAATAGCATTTAATGTATAATTGTGTGAAGGGTTGTGGATAAAGCTGTACTTCTGTCACCCTGTGGCAGTACCTTCTGCTTTAATATTAAACAACTTGTTATTTAAATATTGGAATCACAATGGCTGGCTTCAAAATGTAGTCGTTAATAAACTAATTTTACGTGCACCTGTGTAGGAGAATTAAAGTCCTGTATACTTCATTTGCCTTGTTCCTGTTCTCAGGGTGTGACTCCACATAGTTACCAGGAGATGCAGTTCTAGTTCTCAAAATGGAGCTAGTCCTTATTTCTGAGAGGTGATATCTGGTAGAGAGATGATGTCTTCTCTCACTTGTAATCATAACCATCTTTGATTACCAGCTAAGATACCAAATCACTGTACTGTAAGTAGTCAATAAAATGAAGGCTTGTTTCAGGCTAAAGATTACCTGAGAGTTATTATTTGGGGTGTGTCAATCAACCAGTTATATTCTTACACACAAGTCCTGGTATATAAGAAATTGGGGCTGGAAAGATAGTCTAGTGGGCAGGGTGCTTGCCTTGCATGAAGCCACCCTGGGGTTTGGTACCTGGCACCGCATGTGGTTCCCTGACCCTCTAAAGAGTGATACATGAGCAGATCCAAGAATAAGTTCTTGAGCATGGTAGGGTATGGTCCCAAAATAAAACAAAAAGATGGAGCGATAGCACAGCAGGAAGGGTGTTTTCCTTGCATGTGGCCTACCCGGGTTCGATCCCCGCATCCCATATGGTCCCCGATCGCCTCCAGGAGTAATTCCCAAGTGCAGAGCCAGGAGCAACCACTGAGCATTGCCTGGTGTGACTCATAAAGACAAAAACAAAACTAACAAACCAAAATAAAGATAAAAATGGTTAGTTTGCAGTTGATTGTCTATCTTTGAAGAACGTGATTTAGTCAGCCTGCTTAAAATCATCAGTGGTACTACTTAGATGGATCTCCATCTAAACATAAGATGTGTTTACTTATGTGGCAAATTATACCTCCTAATGAGAACTGTGGCCTGTAATTATATGGCTTGTTAGAATATAATCTTTCCTTTTCACGGTACTGTGCTTTGCATGCAGTCGGCTGATGTTTGATCCCTTGTACAGCTGGTAATAACCCCTATGTACCCTAAGCTGGGTGTAGTCAGAAAACCAAAACAAGCAAAAAAGACATGGTTTTCCTTTGGCAGTTGGGTGTTCAGTTTGCTGCGGAAAATATTCTGCTGGTGTTGCTGAAGTAATTTGCAGTTACTTTGTATTAAGGCAGTAGCTTCATTTGCACATCTGTGGGAGAAGGAGCAGCAAAATGTGAGGTGATTGGAAAGCTTGAAATGTTTTATCTTTATGCCACAACTAATGACTCAGTTCTCAGTACAGTACAGAAAGTTCTTGGTACACATGAATTCATGTACTTTCCTTCAAGTATGTAACGAAATAATGCTGAAAAGCACATGCAAGAGAGAAAGTAATCTTTAATTTCTATCTGGTCAAAAGAAATTTTCCCCCATAATTTGCAAGGCCAGGTTGTGTACCATTTATTTGCTCTTGAAGTAAGTGATGACTGAATTGTGTTCTCCTACTTGGGTCCTTTATATCTTTGTAATCTCTTGTGACAAAGCTATGAAAAATGGCAGTATTGAAATATATGGGATATGTGGGTAGGTAGGTACCTTGTATCCTGCTTTGTCTGTGTAAGGGGATGGGGAATTGACTCAGACACCAAGGAGAAACTCCCATTTGCGATATCTTTTGAAATACTAAATCAAATATTGAAACTTTTTTTTTTTTGTCCATGCATGTGTGAAAGGCTTGTACCAAGAGGGAGGGACTGAGACTGAGTTCATGATGGAGCTGTAAGCTTTTCTAAAACCTCAGTACTTCCAGCATGTGGACACTTTATTTTGGTGATACTTTGTGGCAAAGACCCTGCTTAAGACCCTGCTTGTTACTTGGTTTTGTTTTATTTTGGGACCAAACCAAGCAGTGTTTAGAGCTTATTTTTGGCTCACTTGGTCATATGGGGTGCTGGGAGTTGAACCCAGGCCTGACACTTGCAGTGCCACTACCTGATGGACTATGGCTCCGGTTCCACATGATTTTGTTTCTGAGTTAAATACTGTTCAGTTCCCCCCTTGTTTTGTTGAGACTTAGTTCACAGGCAGTATAGTGAAAGTAAACAGTGGACACTGCATGGGTCAGAGAGATACTACCGAACGTACAGTGCTTGCCTTGCGTGTGGCTGAACCCAAGTTTGATCTCTGCTGTGGTTCCTCAAGCACCACCAGAAGTGAGTCCTGAACACAACCATGATTGAGTGCTGCCAGGTGTGGTCCAAACCCTCTACCTATACCGTCATCCCCAAATAAATTTGTACAGTTACAAGGACTGGAGAGAGTACAGGGGCTAGATGCTGTGCATGTGGCTGACCCTGGCTCAGTTCCCGGCACCTCAGGGTCCCTGGAACATCCCTGGGAATAACACCCAGACATTGTCATATATGACTCAAAACCCCCAAATACGTGGTATGCCATATATAGATGTGTATAGTGAAAAATTCCAGTAGAGTGAGTCAATTTTATCTCATTGATAGAAATGTCACAAGTGTGTTTCCAAATTGGGTGTAGGTTGGGAAGCCCCAAGCACTGCCAAGGTGGGCCTGGTGGTCCTCTGCAGTGACCAGAGGCACCACCGCATCCTCAGGCCTTAGCATCATCAAACTATCTACTGCAAACCATAATGCCCAAAAGGCAAGAGCGAAGAAAAGTGCCTGATATGGAGGCAGGGGAGGAAGGGGTGAGGTGGTGAGGAGGGAAATGGGACTTTGGTTGTGGGAAATGTACACTGGTGAAGGGATGGGTGTTGGAACATTATATAACTGGAGCCCAATCATGTACAACCTTGTAACTCTCACTCTGATTCAATTATATTAATCTAGAGGGGTGGGAGGGAGAGAAATCCATTGTTCTAATATAATAGGAATTCAGTTATTTCCCTGCTTTAGCAGATTTGAAAACAAATCTGAATTTTCTAGGAAGCAAAATTTTGCTTTAAACGTTTATGAATAGGTTTCTCTGTATAGGTAAGATGACTAATTTGCATTAACAGTAAGGCGCCCTGTTGCTGGGTTATGAGGTTAGTCTTTTTTTTAGGTTTTTGGGCCACACATGGCTGTGCTCAGAGTACTCCTGTCTCTATATCAGGAATTACTCCTAGCAGTGCCCAGGTGATCACATGGGATGCCAGGGATTGAACCCTGGGTCGGCCACATGCAAGGCAAACACCCTACATGCTATACTACTTCTCCAGCCCAGAAAGTTTAGGTTTGTATGATACTGCCAGTCTTCCAAAGTGGCTCTATCATTTTGCATTTCTGCTAGCAAATGAAACGAGCATCTGGTGGACGAGTAGTATTTTATTTTATTTGCAGTTCCATAGTGATAAGATAATGAGCAATAATTTTTTAAAAAATTGAATCACTGAGACCCTTACAAAGCTGTTCGTGATTGGATTTCAGTCATACAATGTTCCAGCACTCATCCCTCCACCAGTGTACATTTCCCAGCACCAGTGTCCCCAGGTTCCCTCCCATCACCCGCAACCCCCGTCCGCCAGGATTGAACCTGGGTCTCCCACATGCAAAGCATCTACACCAGACCTTGGCATCATTTCCACAGTTCACCATAGTTTTGACTTATGTTCAAATCTTTGATCCATTTTAATTTTGTCAATGTACAAGAAATATAAGGGGCCAACTCAGTCCCCCCCCCCCCTTTTTCTGGGTCTGCTATGCACAGGGGTTCCTCCTGGCTTTGCACTCAGGAATTACTCCTGGTGGTGCTTGGGGGACCATATGGGGTGCTGGGGATCGAACCCGGGTTGGCTGTGTGCAAGGCAAACACCCTCCCAGCTGGACTATTACTCAGGCATTCTTGACTTGCATTGTATCAACATATTAAAGACATTTCTCAATTCATGAACAAGAGTCTTCCTATTGCTATTTCTAATTTCTTAAAACATTTATTTAAGGGACCCTAGGGACTCAACTAAGGCCTTCGTACATGTGTACTTGTATCTAATTTTAGGAATGTTTTGTGGTTTTAACCTGGAAGTGTTTGTGCTCAGGAGCGACCTCTGGCAGTGCTTGGGGGGTGGTGTCAGGAGTTTGAATGAACTGAGCATCACACCGACATGAAGGCAAATGCCTTGCCCCTGTACTCTCTCCAGCTGGGCTCAGTTTGATAGTTAAGATGCTATTCTCACCGCTGCCAATGGAAATGGTGGAAAGCACAATTTTCGATTGAAGATACAGTTAACATTCAAGCCAGGGTATTCATGACTTCGTCCCCTTGCTTTTGTAGACAATAGCACTAACACCCACAGGTTCTGTGGTTTTAGTATTTAGTCTTTAAGTAAAGACTAAACAGGAATGAAGAGATCACGCAAAGGGCGGAAGCACATGCTTGGCATGCAGGAGACCCAGGTTTGATCCTGGGTACCACCCAGTCAGCAGAGTGCCTTTGGGAGAGACCCAGAATCACTGAGCTGAGTGAAGCTCCTGAATATGGCCCCAAACTCAAATGGAAAAAAGACACTATATAGCTTAGCTGGGATGTGGCAAGCCTCTATTTAGTGTATGATGAATTCTATGTGTGACAAGTTAGGTCCTGGGATGAATTCTGGACCCTGGGATAAATACACAAATAATAGTTAACTTATGTGCAATTCAAAATCTTAAGTGACTACATACTCATCCGAGCTTCCCCTTTTCACTTTGAAAAATTAAAAAGACTTCTAGGCATGTATTTCAGTAGTTATATAAGCTTCATGTGCTAGAGTGTCATGCATACAATGTTCCAACCACACCATCCACACAGTGTGTGTCCGTGCCCCACACCCCACGCCACTGCACCTCACTAGCTCACTTTTGTAGACCAGTTCTCGAGTTAATTCAAAACAAAACAAAACATATATGACTTTTGTTTATTTACAATAAATTCTTTACATTATAAGTAAAACAGTATTGCTATTATGAGTGGACAAAAATTATTACTAACTTTTGTTAATTTAGGCTAATTTCTTTACATTATATATAAAACCGTGTAGGTGGACAAAAGAATCACAAAGATATGGAGAGGGAAAAAAAGACAACAAACTAGAAGCTAGGATTATAATATTTTATTTTTCCCTCTCATCAAGTAACATGCCATATATCTGGAATAACATTTCTTTCCCAAGTTGTAACCCTTTCCAGGAGATGTGTATCAAATACCATAAACTGGTCTGGATGTAGCAACCTGAGAATTCTAAACCAGTTGCAGAACCACTTTTGTAGATCTTAATTAGAATCAAACAATCTAGACATATGTAACATCATCAAAATCATATGTAACCATTTCTTTGCTTGCCTTGTTGAATGTACCTCTTTTCTCCCAAAAGGCTATTTAAGAGTCTTGTACTTTTGAAGAAACGTGTCTACTGGTTTTAATTCTTGGCTCAGAATATGAGATCTCTTATACTCTAATTGTTCTCAGCTATGAACAAATTAGTTTTACTCTACATCTAACTTAACTTTGCTTCCAGTATTAAACTCTCCATCCTGACTTGGGAATGAGGGCTGGCGGTGGCTGGGAAGGGTTGAGATGTAGAAGCATTCTGAAAAGACCAGACCATCATTTTTGAAGTCATTAGTGGAGAAATCAAATATTCCTGCTTCTGATAATTAAAAACAACGTAAAGCCAAGACCCAAAAATTCTGCTCCTGAAATTATAGTGTATTACAGTAATATTTAAAGTACATTCAGAATTTATATTACTCTCTCTTTTCCCTGAGTATGCGGGGTTCACAGTTTTGTGGTGCTACTTTCAAGAGGTAGTTAGCGGGGATGCTAAGGAAATAATGTTTAGATGTAGCAGCACCTGGGAAAACATGTAACATGTGTGTCGATCTCAATGAACACATCTTCCCCGCCCTCCACACCCACGAACCCTCGAATGGAAAGATGATCCCTCTCCTCACCTGCTTGGGCCCTGTCTCCCATCACCTCTGCCCAGGATCAGCACCCCTCTTCAGGAGACTGTACAGCCGTTTCAAACACATGCAATGAAACCTTCTGAGTGGGGCTGTTCACATTTAGAAGATCTGAGAGGCTCAAAGGAGTAATTTTTATTCGTACAGTTCTTAGGGAAAATGGACAAACTTTCTATCACCCCCAACCACTGCCTTTCCGGCCCTGGACCTGGTGTGTTTAGCTCACTGCTTGTGAACCTGAGTCGGTTCTAAGGTCTGGGCTCTGGAGGATCCTGACAGCTAACCACAGGTGCACATGTGGTCCGGTTCGTGGCCTCCAGGCTTAGGCTGGGCTGGTGGAATACTGTTCCATCAGATGTTTGTGACAGGGATTACAAACTCGCTCAGGTTTGATACTCGAAGGAAGAGGCAGTTCGTTGGTGGAGCAGGCATCACAGAAGGTTCCTTTGCAGTTCTTACACACGTTCTATTAAGCAGAGAGGAATTAGGTTGGGAGGAAAGAAGGGCAAGGCATAGGATGCGTGCGATATAAAAGGCCAAATACGGTAAATGCTGAATGGTTAAGCAAGTACTGACTATTTGCTCTGTGCCAGAAATGATCTGACCAGGGAGTGTCTGCTTACTCTGTTCACTATCATGTTCAGATGGGCTGACTCTAAAATTAGTTGCAAGTACCTAACCACACCCCGGCAGGCAGTGCTCTAGCAATGAATTATGCTCCACACTCTTCTGTGACACTTGATGTCAGGAATTGGGAACCTTCTTTCAGTCAAAGCCCATTTAGGTTTTTTTTTTTTGGGGGGGGGGTGGTGTTAACTCCTGGCTCTGGACTCAGGAATTACTCCTTGCAAGTACGGGAGACCATGGGCATCAAAACCAGGTTGACCCCATGCAAGGCAAGTGCTCTATCTGCTGTACTATAGCTCCAGCCCTTCACTTGGAACGTTATGACACCATTCACTGGTCAGGCAAGATGGGGACATGGGCTTCGGACACGTGTCTGTTGTCACATCCCAGGGAGAGACCACATCATTCCACAGACCCAATAGAGTCTGCAGGTTAGAGGCCCCTCCCCTGCTCTATTTGAATGTCAGCTCCCTGCGTCCTCTTTACAGGGAAACGGTCTCCTCAGTAGCCAGAGATGGACAGCGTGTGGTCCATTTCGACAACTGTGAGGGTGAAACTGATGTCATGACAAGCTGCAGTCAACATTAAGTCTCGAGTAGGCCTCAGGTTCTGTTTCCCCAAAGCAGGACTTGCAGTTTCTGGCAAACTCCCAGTTGAGTAATTTCCAGAGATAAGGAATTGGGTCTGGCCAGTCACAAAAGGTCACTGTACCCTCCTTAGAAACTGTTACTAAATATTGTCCAATTGCTGACCACAGCTGTAACAGGGCCAATGCTAAAAATAGACAAGTATATAAACTGCTTAACTTTGAACCCTATATAAACTGCTTGTGATTTGGAGTTGGGGTCCTTGTCAAGATTCCACTATGTTGGATGAGACTTGGACCCTAGTTCATTGCTCGTCACTGTGTTGGATGAGATGGCTCGGGCTAGTAATAAAGTTTCTTTGCTTTTGCATTACCATGTATAGAACTGGGTCTCTGAGCAACTGGGGAACAACGTGATGCCCTGGGATGGCTGTTGGAGGGCCAGAGTTTTGAGGGTCCCTACAGAGAGGCTCTAAAGAAGAATTTCCCGGGGCTGGAGAGACAGCACGGCGGGTAGGGCGTTTGCCTTGCACGCGGCTGACCCGGGTCCGATTCTCAGCATCCCATATGGTTCCCTGAGCACCGCCAGGAGTAACCCCTGTGCATCGCCAAGTGTAACCCAAAAAGCAAAAAAAAAAAAAAAAAAAAAAGGAAATAAAAGAATTTCCCCCATGAAACTCTATTTTCTTCCAAACAATTCATCTTGAGGTAGGAGGAGAGGGTTTTGATTTGAGGGCCCTGAGGAGTTTTCCTCTAACAGATGTGCAGTTCCATTGCATGGTATAGAGAAGATAGAATTAGATGGGCACCCTCTGCGCTACCTGGTCCGGGAGGGCAAACTGGCACGGACCGCAGACAGAGATCACTGGGGGACAGCAGGTGACCTCTTGAGGAGAGCTCACTGCCCGCAGTTCCCACAAATAATCCAAAGTACCCGGTCCCAGACCAGTGTTGAGCAGAGAAGTATTGGGATGGACGACAGGCTGTTTCTTGGCTTTGCTACGTGGTGACATGAGTATCACACCCTTAACCTAGCAACGTCTTCAACCTCTCAGCGTCAAAGGTTCTTCAGGTATCAGGTGATGGCACAAAAGGACATATGTGTCACAAGAACAGGGACTTGGCCTGCCTGTATGTTATCACTCCTTTTTTCCCCCCCACGTGGGCCAGTGAGCACGTTCTACCCAGTAAGGCTCTGAATGAACAGCTATAAACTTACTTGCTCTGAATTTTTTGTTTTAGTGTGTGTGTGTGGTGGGAGCGTGGGGGGGACTGAAGGACACGATCTACTGTATTAACTGAAAAATGCACAATAAATGCTTGCTGCTTTGGGGACTGGGGAGGGAGCACAAGGGTTACGTAATGCCCAGCAGGTGGATGCTGGGACCTCATATGTCAACAACCCCTCAACTTGTTCCCAGTCCCTCAGAGTGGTGGAACTCAACACTGTGGACCGAGCAATGCACCTGCAGGCCCTCACTTCGTGCCACCTAGCCTTTCTCGCTGAGTATCAATCACGGAGTGTTCCCCAACCCCCCAGCCCTCCAATAAAAGAGCAAAGGATGCTGGCTCGGCTGGCTCTTCCCCTCCCACTCTGCACGAGGGCTCCAGCATGTACTGAGCATGCTCCATGGAACCCGTTTTGGTTCCCACTGCCGTTACCTGCGTTAGGTGGCCCTTGTCCTGACACAGCTGACACGTCTGTGGCTTTTCCGAGGACACCGGCTCGTCCTAAACCATACAGGAAAACTGTTAGTTCCCTGGGTCCCCCTGCCAAGAACTCACTTTCGTACTTGTCCCCCTCAAGAGAAAACAAAAGGGATTGGAGAGCACTTCCGGGGCGGGAGCGCCTGCTCTGCCATGTGCCATCCCAGCAGAGTCTGGCCAAGAGGCGCAGAGCACTGAGACGCCCTCGAGCGTGGCCAAGTGTGGCCCCCAAAATAAGCAACGCAAAGCAAAAACCAGAATATGCATCTTTCAGTTACAAAATGAGTGTCACCACACTACAGGCCTATTTGGAAACTAAAGAAATAAACAGAATCCCCTTGCCTTCATACACTCTGACAACCCTATCTCCACTCTTGGAGCTCTTTTCAGTTTTTATAGTAAAGATGACTCAAAGAGAGATCTAATTTTATTTATACACAGTAAGCTAAGGATATGAGTATCAAGTGTGTGCGTGGGGGAGTCCTACCGTGGGGCTGGGGAGATAGCCTAGTAGTTGGGGGTGCAATCCTTCTTAGTATGGGGACCCCAGTTCAAACTGTGGCACTGGCAGGTGTAGACCCAGTGAGCCCCCCAGTGTCTCCAGGTGAGGCCCTGGTGGCGCCCAGTAGCACTGAGCTATCTGGCTGGCTGGCTGAGTACTGCCATGAGCGGCCCTGGGCTGGTGGGGAAGGGGGCTCTTGAGCACGTCTTACTTTACCGGTGAGAATGGAATACAGTAGGTTTGATTTTGTGTATATGTAGATAAATAACAGCGTTAACTCAGGGTAACACTATAACTTCCTCAAGGGGAAGTCATATACTATTATATCTGCTATTTTATAAACATTTACCTACTTTTAAGTGATCAAGAAGGATTATTTTTTTCTCTAAAAGGGAACGCTAAGGGGCAGGGTATGTAAAATGAGCTCTCTTAGGGCTCACTTGAAGTGAAAGAGAGACAATTTTTAGTAAGAACTGCCTTCACTTAGCAAACTGCTCAGAGCAGTACTGTTTCCTGTGAGAACTTGAGGCAAATGCATTTGTCTAGGACATGCTTACAAAGGACCTTAAGCATTCATCTACCCGGGCAATATTAGTATCTGAGAAATGAGACACAGTTACCTGTTCATCCTCAGGGTGAGACTGCAGTCTGCAATGGAAAAAAATGAAACACTAAGAAACAGCAATTTCCATTTCTATTTTTCTAATCTCCAAGGCTCAGAGAAGTATGGCTTCTACGTTGGGACCAATATAATTTTGACTTCCAAGGAGAAGAAATGTTGGCCATTAAGTCGATTATTAGAAGCTGATGTTTAGAAGCGCAATGCTTAGCACTTACAAAGACTTCCGGTTACTCTTTTTAATGTTTTCTTTTTACTACTGCGGAAATGTTACATTTCCCAATCTGTAAAATGTCAATGGCAAATGCTCTATGTTGGAATAGCATTTTTTTGGGGGGGGACCGTACCCAGCAGTGCTCTGGGCTTACTTATGCTCTGTGCTCAGAGATCACTCCTGGATGGGCTCAAGGGACCATACTAGGTGCCAGGGATGGAACCCAGTTTGGCCACATGCAAGGCAAGTACCCTGCCCACTGAACTATTTCAGGGCCCTAACAGTATTTTTTTTTCTGATATAGAAATTTGATATAGAAATGTTATACACTAGTCCCCTCTCCCAAATAGTTTGCATTAGGTCATATGTGGGAATGCTCAGGGGGTTACCCCTGACTCTGCACTAAGAAGTCACTCCTGGATGGCTCTGGGGACCATATGGGATGCCGGGGATTGAACCTGGGTCGGCTTCATGCAAGGCAATTTCACTACCCACTGTACTATCACTCTGGCCCCCGAAATAGTCTTAAAACTTGCCCAACTTAGTGATGAAAGGGAAATTGAATGAGACTGTCACATGAGAAGCCGTTTTCGGAGGGAATATTTCTTCATGAGGCCCAACAGAGCTACCCCTTGGATTTCCCAGCTTTGTGTTAGAACCTAAATTTGAGAAAGCGAAGCCCATGCTTGGAGCTAGGGAAGATGCGTCACACCCGCAGAGTGGCTCTCAACTCTGTAGTCGAGGGACAGGGACTACCAGTGTGATCAGGTTTTCTAATCTTCCTTGGGAACACAACCCTAGGTGAGGATGTCTCAGGATTGCTGTTTTGTCCAGGACTTGGCCTGGATCCAGGTATAATGCCGTGAGGAGACAGAGAGCTTAAAACAGAGACTTCAGTAAAGGCACCGTGGGTGTGTCATGGAGCCTCTGGGAGACTTAGCTCCCTCCAACTAAATAGTAGGGATAGATGATTTTACTTGTATAAGGAGAACTAGTCCTCTGTGCTCCACCAATTTTTGTTTACACGGTCTTCTGGCGTCTGACAGTCAACTGTGTGAATATGGTTTATGACTTTTCCAGGATATAGTTGGGCCTCTTTTACTTTTTATGTAGTGGCAATATGTGATAATGTTTCTGCCTACTAAAATAATAATTACAGGTCAACTTTTGTGAAATGATCATGATCTCCTATAGCAAGAAGATCAGGTGAGTTGGGGAAAATGAATTAACATGAAATTGTATGAGATCCTTATAGACTGGATTTCATTCTTTTGTGATATCATTTCATAAAGAACAGAAGTCATGGTCATGGTCACAGTCTTCCCGTTATTCATCGATTTGCTCGAGTGGGCCCAGTAATGTCTCCATTGTGAGACTTGTTACTGTGTTTGGCATACTGAATATGAAGATTAGAAGTATGCGTTTTAATATATGTGTTGCCGAAGTGAGCACTAGAAGTATCTTTTAAGAGTCTGAGGTTAACTGGGAAGAGTCATAGGACACACTGGTTGATTACCTGTGTTTCTTCTGAGATGGACTAACAGACTTGGTTTAATATGTGTCTGTTCACTGCTATTCCACCCTTCACAAAGGAGTGACATCAAATCTGTTTCCCCATACATCACTGTCAATGTATATCAGAAGCTCTCTCATTCCCACCATCTCAAAATAACTTAATATCTTAGTTAATACTTCATTAACAAACACCTGTGGCTTTCTTCTAGAGGTTTTTTCAGTTTAACATTTTCCTCTTGAATTCTCTGCTTTCCATCCTGCCAAAAGAAAATAACCCGATTTATTATTCATCGTCTTACAACAATGATATTTCATGCATTCTTTTCTGTGTTGGTTCAGTATAAGTATAAGGCTAGCAGTTAGGTATTTTTTTTTTGTTGCTGCTGTAATTAGGAATGAACTTAATTAACTGTCAAGATGTTTCATCTCATCCTTTGCTCCAGTTTCTCTTCTCTCCCTTTTTTGGGGCTACACTCAGCAGTGCTCCAGGCTTATCCTGGCTCTGCATTCAGGGATCACTCCTGGCATCGCTCAGGGGACCATATTAGGTGTTGGGGATTGAACCTGGTTTGGCTACGTGCAATGCAAAGCACCCAGACTGCTTACTCTCTGGTCCCTTGGCTCCAGTTTCTTAAAAAACTATCCTAAAAGCATCTGCAGATGATTTTCAAAGAGGCTATTTTCTTTGATTCTTTAAGGTTCAATGAAATTTTGACTCTAACCTCCTTACTTGCAAAGTGAACTCAAGGTATCTATGACTTCGTAGCAAATCTATTCTAAAATACATTAAATAAAAGATGCATTTCCCCAGGTGAACTGTGGAAATAAGAAACCAAGTAAGGTCCTAACTGGGAGCCTGTGGCAATCTTTGGGTGCTCAGTAGTAGATGTCTTTCTGCTCAGACAGCTTCTACAGTTTATATAACTTGGGGGATTTTCTTGTTCTGAAGGATCAAGGTAAAATCCAAACTTTTCTACTCAGCTTTTTTTTTTTGCTTTTTTTGGGTCACACCTGGCAATGCACAGGGGTTACTCCTGGCTCTGCAGTCAGGAATCACTCCTGGTGGTGCTCAGGGGACCATATGGGATGCTGGGAATTGAACCCGGGTCGGTCGGGTGCAAGGCAAACGCACTACCCGCTGTGCTATCACTCCAGCCCATCTACTCAGCTTTTCTAAAGTCCAAGTATCTCTACCAGTGCTCTTGAGGCTGCACACTGCTGCCTGCCTTTAATGGTTTCTCATAAGCCTCCAAAAGTAGAATACATGTTTTGAGGTCACTCATGCAGCAAGAAAGAGAAGGGATCAAAGGAATAGCTACTGTTCTGGAAGCTCAATACGAGGCAATTCCAGATTCATGGAGAAACGTAAGTCCTTACTGGGAAACCAGGGTAAGAAAGGCCGGAAGCAAGTAGGTATCTGCAGGTCCTTTAGAGTAGATGATATGTTTCTTAAAATAATGACTGCATATTACAAAAGGAGTGCTACTTTGCACACTTTAATAATGGGTATGCAATAAATTTCCACCCCCGCCCATCCCATTTTGACTCTCAAGCAAATCAGCTGCTTTCTCTTCGAAATTTAAAATAAGAAGCTTATAAATGTCCTTTGTTATATACAATGTGTGTAGGAAGAATGTAATTTTCACCCATATTTTTCTCTGTATTCCATGCTCTTCTGATTTCATTATTTGGAGAGACTAGCTCCTATTGGCTGGATTACTGTGGGTCTCTGACCCAATTCTCCACATCACCTTCACAGGCATTGACAGAACTATTAACTCCTGATTCTAATGCCATTCCACATTACTTTCCCCTCCCCAAGCCTAAATCCCTCTTTATCTAAGAGAGTCCTGTTAAAAAAACAACTTAAGGTGGAGAGGGATCATTATAACATAGAATTAAAAATAGGAGCTTAAGACATTTATTTTTGTTAACACACAAATATAATCTTAAACTGAAAGGAGTAAGAAGGTCACTGGAAGAGAATTAAAAAAAAAAAAAGAAGAGAATGGGGTCACTGGAAATCAGGGTTATTAAAATCCCCCTTTCCAAATGAAACCAAGGTAGAGTGTCCGAAAGGCGGGCCCAGGACCCATCTCTCGCTGCCACCATTGCTCCCAAGGCCGTGCAGTGACACAGGTGTCCAAGATACACAGCTGTCTGGCACATCAAGACAGCCTCGGAAAATTCCAGAAATAAACAAGGGAATAACAAGTATTACCATTTTGGGTTCTGGCTTCTGGGAACCCTTTCCTGGGATGCTCCTGTTTTGTAACCTTCTTTCTCTTTCTTGTTTTAGTTCTAACTCAAGCTGGTTCCTGGGGTTGGTGAGAGAGAAAAGGATGAAAACTTGGATTTCTGTACTTTATTCGCTAAAGAATGCCACGCCTCCTTGAAAGTTCAGTAACTGACCTCTAATTCTGGACCAATACAAAGTTGCAGATATATATGCATATACACATACATATATACATATACACACGCATACACAATAAGGTTTTAGCTACTAAATACAAGAGACCAGTAAAACTAAATACAATCTTTATGGTTGGGGGGATGATTAAGAATGAATATTAGAATCTTAAAATTATCTGAGCATCACCACTCTGAATATCATTATTTTATATAGCTCTTCATAAAGAGCTGTGGTGAAAAAAAATTAGTAGGATCTACTATAACCTAAGATAGTTTCTGGATAAACTTTCAGCAACAAGTTGTATGAAGAACTGATGCTTCAGTATCTTTTCATGCTAATTAGCTGGCCTGTCTTTATAGGTCTATTCAGCTCAGTTATACTGTCAAGCTCCTCAACCACAAGTGTCTTTAGCCACTATGTGCTTTTCTATCCAACTACAAAGTTCCGTTTGTTTGAAGTGGCAACAGCACAGAATTCAGTCTCACTGGAGACAGAATTGCAGAGTGGATAAGGCTCAGAGGCACAGGGGGGCTTTTACATGATAGCTCGGCTACTCGGCTACTTGGCCAAACTTTGTGACTGTGGCACAATTTTTCACCTCTCTAAGCTTGAATTTCACCTGAAAGTGGGGATAATCAAATTGCTAGTCGGGCTGAAGGGAAGATGTTAGGGGAGAATGCGTGAGAGCAGCTTAGTAAAGCATCCGGCACGCGGTGGGAAGGCAGGAACCACGTCAGCATCTGCGTTAGGGCCACCGAGTCTCACGCTCTTTCCTTACTTATCCATGCGGCTGGGATGGAAGCTCTCGAATTCCAACTGTGGAGAAAGACCTCTGCCCGCCCGCCTGAGAAGCCCCCAACGGCCACCCCATCCGTCCGCTAGGGCTGCCCCTCTTCACCGCTGCCTGGTGAGCGCCTCCACTTGCAGCTGCAGACTGTTAATCTTGTCTCCAAAGTCCTGCTTGAAGAGCCGGTTGTCCAACTCTGCAGACTGGCGGCCGCGCTCGGCCTGGCGCAATCTGGATGTGGGCCACAGGAACTCGTGATAAAAAACAAAAGCCACGTGGGGGGGAAGGACCAAGCCCACAACACAAGAGCAACCCAAGGAAGAAGGCATGGAGGGAGATCAAGGAAGCAAGAAAAAACAAACAAATAAACAAACAAAACTGAATGGCACGGGGGGGGGGGGGCAGAGGGGGGGGGGGGAAAGAAGGGGGAAGTAACAAATTCTAAAGAAAAGCAAGATGAAGGTGAACCAGGCAGAGGAAAAGTTGATTTTCCTTTTTTTTTTTATTCTAGTACTACAGTTTACAGCCATTAGATGATAAACAATAAAACAACACTTTTTTTTTTTTAGAAAATCCATATCCAAAGCCAACCTCAAGTACACAGCTATTAAAGTTAAATTCACTTTTGTTTTTCTATTAAGCTTGATACCTTACACTTGTTTCACACACATACTTGGAACTTGCAAATGGGCAATTACCTTTTATCTGTGGAATTGGAATTTTTGGTTCATTCCCTACATCACAAGTTATATTAAATCATTAGACATTATACATCAATCCTTAACCTAGGCAGCAGGTCACTACATCTGGAAAAGCCTTCATCAGAGTTTGGCCATCTCTCTGTTTTGCCATTCCTATGGGGTGGTGTGTGACGAAATGAACAAACAACTCAGCACCAGGCTTGCATAAGATGTCTGACCAAAATCTCTAGAAGATTCTGATGAATGTTTTCCTCTGAATATTCTATAACTTTGTACCGATAAAAACAGAAACAAAAACCATGTTTGAAAATGTGAAACACTTGGGGCTGCATATAACAGAATTTGGAAGCATGCTACGTATAGTCCTCAAAATATTTTATTTTGGTGTCTGAGCACTCCTTTCGAACGCTCATACAAAAGGCAATTCATCACCACAAAAGGATGATGAGAAAAGACAATGAAAGACTTTGTATTTATAGGTGCAAAGTTGTCAGAACTAAAATAAGTTCAGTAAAACAGGATCTTCCATGAGATTGGTCAGATCAAAGTCAACTGTTTGACTTGACTTTGGTTGAGTGTGCAAGGACCTATTAAAGCACACATGACATCCATTTTATTCCTTTAATTTTGCCTTTTTTCCTTAAGAAGGTGATAAAGAATTTTAAGAGCTGGAAGCAAAGGGATTATCTTTGTTTCTATCTAGGCAGCTGAAATGCTGCAAATCATACCAGAATGTAAAGAACTCAAATATTTTGCCAGACTTTTTGAAAGAACGAAGGCTATGCAAAGCCTATTCCCCCAATCAAAAGTGATTAAAAAAAATCAGTGTATTTAAAGGATTATTTACCATGTAAAACTCAGAAAGGATTAGAACTGTGGTCATTTAGAAAAAGAAACCCTGCTAGTTATTGTTTGTGAATAACTATTGGGATAGCAATAATCAGACTAAATAATATTAAGAAAATAGAAGTTTATAGTGTATCTCCAAGTTTGAAACAGTTTTCTAATAATTGGATTGTTAAGTTTCCCAGAAATGTTAGCAAATCCCCATCCAAACATAAAGTGTTTCCACTCAAGGAATGAGAATTAGGAAACAGTCACTCAGACCTGTATCTTGTTTTCACCCCACAAGGAGAAAGTCGGATAGCGTTGAAAAAAAATGAGGTGTATTTCCTTTCTAGGAGAGATTATTTTGTCTCTGAGCTACCTAACAGGAAGTGACATTACAGGAAAATGGCAGAGGTAGAAGGTGACAGGGGGAGGATTTTCCCAAGCTTCCACATTATCACATTATCATAAGTTACCTAATCACTAACTTTATCTCTATGTTCTTTAAAGAAATGCAAGGGTGCCGTGGTTGTATTTTTTTCTTCAAAGTCACTAAGGCAAAAACTTGCAAGCAATCCTGGATACTGAGAAGAGATCTGTAGTAAAATACTAAGTTACTTATCCTTGGCTTGGGGGTTAAACCTATGGAACGGAAGTGAAAGGGGGTCATGACTTGGGACATATGGAGCTACTTTAACAGAGTCCAAGTCCATAAGGTAGTCACCTCTAGCTCCCTAACTGCACGAGCAGAACAGGTTTCCTCCCAGGGCATCTGGAACCTGACCTTGCAGGGACTGGGCTGTAAAGGCGGCAAGAATATGCGGTTCAATTCCCTAGGACTGTTGGATGGTACGTTCAGTGGTTTTCTCAGAAGCAATTTCTCAAAGTTTGGTTGGCATTTAATCAAGAACTTATACTAAACCTTCTAACTCTGGGGGGAAAAAACCCAAAACAACAGAACAACACAGTCTACATGTCAAACTTTTTTTTTTTTTAAAGTCCAACAAATTCAGATTTAGGTTTTGGTGGTTTAATTGAGAATCAGAGCTCAGATGTTGCTGACTTTCAAGTGTCTTCCTTCTACAATTGCAGTATCAGACTTGTGAGGTGACCAAGTCCAAAATGCTTAATGATGTTTGGGGATCAGTTTATTTGCTGCACTATTTAAGGTCTTTGCCTGTTTCACCAAATCCTTTTCACTAAATTAATAAAAATAAAATAAATAAATAAGGATGGAGTGAAAGGGGAATGAGAAAATGGATAAACAGGAAAGACAAAAATAGTAAGACAATAAGTCAGCTTAGAACGTGAAGAGATAAATCATTTTAGCTCTGTCTGCTTTAAATGTCAAGTAAAAAAACTTTATCACTTGCTAATGATTAAGTTAAAAGTACACAAGTCATGAATACTTAGTCAACAGTAATATGCCATGCTGATCAGGACCCTCCCCAGTTAAGGATCTTTTGAATAAAAGAATCATCCAGTCATTTATATATCTTCTATATATCTTCTACTCAAGGCACTGTGGAGACTTAAAGTTTAGTTAGGGCCAAAATGATTTAAGAGAGCAAGAGATTTAGCTCAAGGGAAAGGTTCTGATCACTGTATGCCCGAGATTTAAACCTGAAAGCTTTGTAACTTTTCCCACAGTGATTCAATAAATAAATATAAGAAGAAGAAGAAGAAGAAGAAAAAAGGGTTGGAGCGTGCTCTCTGGTGCCACCTGGTGCTCATCGAACATCTCAAGGGGTGACTACTGAACACTAAGTTGGGAATAACCCCTGAGAAGCACCAGGTGTGGCCTGGCCTCAAGGAACTCACTTTTTGGTGGGTCAGGGAGAGCAGGGAAACACACCTGGTGGCACTCAGGGCTTTACTCCTGACACTGTGCTCAGGGACCACTCCTGGTAGGCTCAGGGGACGGTATGGGGTGCCAGGGACCAAGCGCAGGTTGGCCGCAAGCCCAGGTTGGCCGTGTGCAAGGCGCTATGGGTACTATGGATCTGGCCCCAAGGAACTCACTTTCATGAGAAGATACAGACACACAGGATTAAAAGAGAGGAACAAAGTGTCAGATGCTCTAAGCAGAATGGACATGGACTCTGATGGAGTCCAGTAGGAGTAGGTGGTTTTCAGCTGGGAAGCAGAATCAGAGGCTTTTGAACCCGAATGTACAAAGTGTCTCTGAAGACTAGAGAGTGGGATGAGGAAGAGCGATTCTCATTTGTAGAACTATTTCCTAACAGTTCAAATAGAATGGATGGGAAAAACGAGACACATGTCCAAGCATCAGTAGTGGTTTAGTTTCACTCAAGCACACGAAGAGTGACCTGGGGAGTTAAAGGTGGAAGCGTGTGCTAGCGACATGGAATAATGCTGCCGTGGCCCACTTCTCGGGCAGCTCAGCCAGCAGGAAGAAAACGGTGCTTTCAGACAGAAACAAGGCAACAAGCATAGGAGAGGCTGTGCTCTGCTGGGCAGACTGACACGCGGGTACTGAGAGGAAGTAGCTGGTCAGTGCAGGGAAAGACTGTCTGCAGGGGAGAACCATTAAATAGAACTGAGCTATATGGGAGGATGCTGGGAGGACTATATGGGAGGAGCTATATGGGAGGACTCTGGATGCTCTAATGCTACACAGGAGGTTAGAGAGAAAAGGGGGCCGGGGGAGCAGAGAGAAGAGGCAGTTTGGGGCCTCACTACTCCCAGCACCGAAGTACTCAAAGACTTCAAAGCTTAAAAGCACTTTCCTCCTTGTAAGCCTTCTTCTTCTAAAACATGGCAGGGGAATGGAGTTAAGCGAGAATGATGTTCAAATAGCCCAGAAGATTTGGCGTGTCTGAAAATTACTTTCAGTGAAAAGTTAGGAAATGCAGAATGTACTGGGCTTTCTTTCTCCCAGCATCCTAGATGTTAGGAATTCTGTCTGCTTGTTTGCCGCAGGCATTGCCCACTCTTTCCACCTCGGGACTGAAGCCCAACGTGCTTTGCTAGGGGATCGGCCCTTTACCTTTGCTCGAGCTGTTTAATGGTAGCCGCCATCTGATTAGTCTTCTCTTCCAAGCGACTGTTTAGTTCACTTTTCTGTTTCACTCCTAAGTCTGAACTCTGTCAGGAAAAAGAATTATGAGTCATGTATACATAAGGTAAAAAATCTGAACTAAGTCAAGCATGCCTTTTGAACCTAAGAGAAACAGAAATGCTCATATATTGGTCTATTAGTTAATTCCTAAGTGGAAAACGGACAAAAGACAATGCTTTTAATTAATGTGGATTTTGGGGGGATGGTGGGATTATTTTTGGTTTGGGGGGCCATACCCAGAGGTAATCGGGGGTAACTTCTGATTCTATGCTCAGAGATCACTCCTGGTGGTGCTTGGGGGACCATGAGTGGTGCTGGGAGTAGAACACTGGTCGCCAGTGCCTTACCTGCAGACCCCCGTGATTCATGTTTCTCTTTGATACTTTACCACAAAAATTAACAATCAGAAGTATCATCAAATTGTCCCCAAAGCCAACAAGGGGCTGGCCAAAGTGCTCATAAGGCTGGAGCACATGCTTAGTTAGCCTTCTGGAGCTGGGGCTTCAGCCTTCAGGACTACATGGTCTCAGGATCTATCTCTACTGCAACTCCCCCAAGCCCTAGCCCCCCAAGTGCCCCCACACAATGCTGTCAGTAGCTTCTGAGCACCGCTGGGTACGGCTCAAGTGAAAAACCAAAACGAAGCAGTTAATGGGATATAGTACTTTGTTGGTGTTTAAGGCTGGAGAACAGAATTATATCAGAGCATATGAAAGAATGCTTTCCTTCCTATTTGGACAATGGCGACGACTGTCCAGAACAGATCACATGAATGTTCTGGCTCCCAAAGTGGTTGCCCAGCTATTAGCCTCAAAATGAGACAAGGTGAGACAAGGTGCTTCACTCTTTTTTTTTCTCTTTGGGTCACACCCGGCAATGCACTGGGGGTTACTCCTGGCTATGCGCTCAGGAATTACCCCTGGCGGTGCTCAGGGGACCATATGGGATGCTGGGAATTGAACCCGGGTCGGCCTCATGCAAGGCAAACACCCTACCCGCTGTGCTATTGCTCCAGCCCCAAGATGCTTCACTTTTGTATTGAGTCACAGCGTGACTCAGAGAAGGGCTCGGAGACACTTGGGGGCTGCCGCGAGCCAGCAAGCCTGTTCTTTCCGCATCTCCTACCTGCAGCTTAAAGGCAAGTTCATGCTTGAGCGCCCTGAGATCGTCCAGCTGCTGCCGCAGAGACACCAGGGCATCCTGCTTCTCACAGACATCTTTCTCCAGCATCTTCATGGCCAGCTCCATCTCCTGCCTCATGCTGATCTGTATCTCCAGTTCCTTTTCAACATCCTGCTCCCGAGGGTAAGAACATCCGTTATGGTCTCTTCCTGACCCAAGTACCAACGACTAAATTCCACAGGAAAAGGCAGACCAAAACTCTCGACCTGGACACCTCCGCAGTAGCTATCACTCACTATATACATTAATAACAAGAGTAACTGAGCTTCCAAGCACTGCTGACTGTCCCCAGGGCCCTTGCCAAGCACTGCAGCCCCAGGCCCTAGCGTGGAACAGTCCACAGTGAGCCAAGTCTTGGGAGAGAGGCCCCTAGAGCAGGCTGGGGAGATCCTTGCCCCTCCACAAAAAGAATAATATTTGGGATAATACAGTAACATTTATTCAAAAATGTACAAGCCGAGAATCATACTCCTAGACCTGTAGACCAAACCTGACTGCAAACCATAGTGCCCAAAAGGAAAGAGAGAGAGACAGCAATAGAGGGAGAAGAAAAGTGCCTGCCACAGAGACAGAACTGGGGGTGGGGGATGGGGGATAGGGGGAAGGAAGGAAAATGGGGACACTGGTGGTGGGAAATGTACACTGCTGAAGGGAAGGGTGTCGCAACACTGCATGACAGAAACCCACTCATGAACACCTTTTGAACCGTGTATCTCACGGTGATTAAAAAAAAAACATACAAATTTGGTAGACTCATGCCATCTGAAATACACAAACGCCTGATACTGTGTCTATTACAGAAACATACAGTGTTCAGAAATAAGCACTTCAAATCTCTTCACTATGGATTCTGCTGACATATTCCAGGGCCCAAGGAATCCAAAACATACTCTGGTAATATGGTAATATTATCATGGTAACATGGTAATGACCAGGAATGGGGAACCTGGCTAATAAAATGTTTATATTCTCTTATATTGAGCTTTTCATTTTAACGTTTGTTGCTACAACATTATTTAGATGATCAAAGACACAAAGACTTGAGGTTCTTTATTACCCAAGCTGCACTTAGGACACCCCTAAGAACCACTGTTTATTTGCTTGGATTTTTTTCCTTTATAAAAATATTTATCTCTTTATGGTACAAGAATGTAGAAAATTCTATGTAGGATTTTTATTATGCTTACAATGCTTAACTGAGATATTCTCTTCACAATAAGCTGATATTAACATATTTCTAGGAACTTCCTTATTTGTGGAAACCATCCTAAATTTAATTCATAGAAGGAAAAAGGTAATTTCTTCATACTGGCAAAATCCTACTGGCTGTTGATAACAGGCAGAAAATGTACTGAGAAAACATTATAGTGAATATGAGTTAAGAAGAGAGTAAAAGTTTCAGGCTCATAAAATTTTATTAGGTACTCTTATTGTGTCTTACTCAATAGGATAAAAGCTTTAAGTAGTGAGTTAGCTTTTAATGTCTCTTAAAACTACTAGAATTGAAGTGAAGTTTACCAGTCGTAGTTGTGTCTCTTCCTTTAAATGCTTTCTGGCTTCACTTAGAGCTTGCCCTTCTGAAGTTCTGTCTTGTTTGGGACCCTTAAAAAGATAGATAAAATAGTGCATATTTAAGGGTTTTCAAGAATCTATTCAGCTATATAATATTACTACTTAATGAGAAAAAGTAATCATATGTAAACAGGTATATAAGTAAATGAACAAGAAAACGATATTTAGTAAGTGGGAATAAACAACTTCTTAAGCTGAATTGGGGATTTCTTGCCATTTTGTTTAAAGTTCTAACGTAAGTTACTACACCAAAAGTAAAATCTTAAAAATCCATCTATAAAAAAAAAATTGCACCCACATATTTGGATTCCTGCGCCACAGTATGTTGGAAACAAAGTTCAAAGAGAGTATGGAAACCTTTCTACAGATGATACTAATAGCAGGAGGAAGATGCCATCAAATCAGAAACGGAAGAAAATTGTGAAAAATCGCGCACAGCTGGAAATATTCAAACATAGGTGCTAGAAGTTTCTCAATTTCTACAGTCCCTAAAATACTTAAGTACAACTATAATCTAGTAGAGTATTGCCAATATTTTCAGTTATGACCTCCAGTCATCATAAAGAGCTGTGTCAAATTATGTTCACTGCTTAAGATTTGGAATTGTGGCCCGGAGCTTTAGTACAGTGGGTTGGGCACTCGCTCTGCATGTGGCTAGCATCTTACAAGGTTCCTGAGCCCTGCCAGGAGTAATTCCTGAATGCAGAGCCAGGAGTAATCTCTGAACATTGACAAGTGTCCCCAAAACAAACAAACCAAAAAAAACCAAAAAAAAAAAACCACACTTGGAACTGTGCAGTACATGAAATGTTTGCAAAAATTTGGACTAGATGCATGTATGAAAATCTTGGTACTTTAGGGGATTAAGTTATTCAGAAAATTAAAGAAAATAATTAATTAGTAAGTCCTAGCATTATCCAATGAAATGTCACATCTTTATAAAAATCAAAAAAATAGATAGTAGGTTGCTTCTCCTGTGTTCTCTCCTGAACACCTATCTCTCTCTCCCCCTCCTGAAATTTCTTTCAATAAGAACATTGGAGGCAGGAGGGATAGTCTAATGGGTAAAGTGCTTGCTTTGCATGCTGCTGACCGGGGTTCGATCCCAGCTTCCCATATGGTCCCCTGAGCACTGCCAGGAGTGATTCCTGAATGCTGAGCCAGGAGTAATCTCTGAGCATCGCTGAGTGTGACCCAAAATACAACAAATAAAACCAAAAAAAGTCAATGATTTTCCTTTACTAAAAACAAACAGAAAAAAAGTAAGGTGGTCTAAATACAACAATATACACAGCTATAAAATTCGTACAAATCAGAAGTAAGAGCCAGGAACTGAATTAGATCAGGGAGGAGCCAAGGAGCCTCCGTAGGACTCTCACCCTCCCAGACCTCCATCATTTACTCAGTTCGGCACTGGCTGGGGCTGCGCAGTGGCCCGCAGCTTCCAAGCCCGTTTCCGCCCCGGTTGCCCCTAGGCTCAAATCCCGACATGCTCTCTGGGAGTATTTGCAAAGCTCATGAGAGTAACCTTCCGATTGGATTCCAAGATGTAGGAGCTTTCCTCTTTAACTCGTTCCATTTCTTCTTGCAAGGTAATAATCCTGTTGTTTGCGACTGCAAGCTGTGGAAAAAAGTTAATATTAATCTTTTATCTTTCATCAACACTGGAGGAAATAATTTATCAAGTAGGTTAGATAAGTTCTGTAAGACTCCAACTGATGTTTTTGTGTGTAAGCTTTTTGAGTATAAGATGTTAAGAATGTTTATACCCCAAAGGTGTCTTTATGTTTTTGTTTTGTTTGGGGGCCACGGAAGGCAGGGCTTGGGGTTTACTCCTGCTCTGTGCTCAGGGACCTCTCGAGACAGTGCTCAGGGGGAATCGTATGGATGCTGGAGGCAAGGCAAGTAGTGTGCCCATTTGTACTATCACTGCAGCACAATTCAAATTTCTATGGAGTTTTTACGGGTCCCAAGTGGTTCACGATTGTGGTATTTCAGGGAACTTTAAAGCTTTTTCTGGCAATGATTTATGGTGCCAAAGATCAAACTGGGTTTGGCCACGTGTCTTACCACCTGTACTATGTCTCTGGCCCCATGGTTTAAAAAATATTTGTTTTTGGTGGTGGTGGTGGTGGGGTAGGGACATTATACCCGCAGTACTGGGGTTTACTTCTGCTCTATGCTCAGGAATTGCTCCTGGTGGGTTTGGGAGAACACACTGAATGCCGGGGATCAAACCTGGATCAGTTGTGTGCAAGGCAACAACCTTATCCACTGTACTATCTCTTTGGCCCCCAAAAGGCCTATATAACTTAAGAATCTACAACCAAAAATGAAGTTCTTGGCTTGGGTGATGGTTCAGGGCTGTAGTGTATTCCTGACATACAGAAGACCTTGGGTTTGATTCCTGACACCCACTAGGGAGGCCCAAAATCACAACAAAAAAGAATGTCAATGGTTAAAGAAACTTTGGTACATTTACACAATGGAGTACTATGTAGCTGTTAGAAAAGACAAAGTCACGAAATTTACATACAAGTGGTACTACATGGAAAGTATCATGCTAAGCGAAATGAGTCAGAAAGAGAGGGATAGACATAGAAATATTGCATTCATCTGGGGAACATAAAGTAACAAAATAGGAAACTAACACCCAAGAATGGCCGAGATTAGTACCAGGAATTTTACTCCATGACTTGGAGGCCAACCACACATACTAGGGGAAAAGGGAGCTCAGATAAAGAGGGGAACACCAAATAAAGGTGTTGGGAGTATCCTCCCAGAATGGGAGAAGCATACTGAAAGTAGACTATAGACCAAACATGATTGCCACTCAATGTTTCTTTTGAAAACCACAACACCCTAAAGGAAAGAGAGAACAGAGGGGAATGCCCTGCCACAGAGGCAGGGTGGGATGGGGGGGAATGGGGGGTGGGAAGGATACTGGGATCCGTGGTGGTGGGAAATGGGCACTGGTGGAGGGATGGGTATTTGATCATTGTATAATTGAAACCCAAGCACAAAAATGTGCAAGTCTGCAACTGTACCTCATGATGTCTCACTATTAAAAAATTTTTTAATAAATAAAAGTCAGAATTCAAAAAAAAAAAGAATGTGAAAAGTAAAGTCCAAAGGATTGAGTAATAAAGAAAGTGTTTTTATAGTAATGTTTGTTCTGAAGAAAAACATTACTTTTTCAATACCTTCCTGATTAGTGCTTTAAACCTGGTTTAAAAGTAAAGGAAAATAAAAATAAACAAAATCAAGTTTTATTACACTGACTAGCTTAAACTTGATATAAACGTTTGCCCCCCACAGCAATTTCAACTTTATTTAACTATAATTAACAGGGCTGTAAATGCTTGAGAGATTTCACAGTCTTCATAGTACCACTGTAGCACTGTCATACTGTTGTTCATGGATTTGCTTGAGCGGACACCAGTAACATCTCCATTGTGAGATTTGTTGTTACTGTTTTTGGAATATCGAATATGCCACGGGGAGCTTGCCAGACTCTGCCGTGCAAGTGGGATACTCTTGGTCCTTACCAGGCTCTCAGAGAGGGACAGAGGAATCTAACCCAGGTTGGCCATGTGCAAGGCAAATGCCCTACCCGCCGTGCTATTGCTCCATCCCAGTCTTCATAGTGTACCTTACTAAACCACACAATCACCACTACAGTATCTTGATTTTACTTATCTTCCTTTAAAATTATTTGCTTTTGGGGGCTGGAGCAATAGCACAGTGGGTAGGACATTTGCTTTGCATGTGGCCAACCTGGGTTCGATTCCGAGCATCCCATATGGTCCGCTGAGCACTGCCAGGGGTAATTCCTTAGTGCATAGCCAGGAGTAACCCCTGTGCATCGCCAGGTGTGACCCAAAAAGCAAAAAAAAAAAAATATTGTTTTTGGAGTTTGGAGCCACACCTGGCAGTGCCCAAGGGCACAGTGCTGGGAGTTACCCATGGCAGCGCCATGAACCAAGGCCTCCTTCATGCAGAGTCTTGCTCTAGGCCTTCGAGCTACCTCACCCCTGTCCCCACCCCAAGTCTTATTTAAACTAAAAGTATTTTATTATTTCTATAATTAGAAAGACAGAAGATAAAAATCTTTGCCATCCTGATAAAGTTCTATGTTTTTTCATAGAAACATCCAAAGCTATAGAAAAAACACAGAGAGAGTAGCCTTGGGAAATCCAGAAATGGGACCAGAGAGATAGTCTGGGGGTTAAGACATTTGTCTGCTGGGGGTATGGTGACGCCAATAGGTCAACTTGTACCTGTGGGGTAAGTGCATTAGCAGCCTGATGGTGCCTTCAGGCTTCCTGACACCCCAAAATTGCTGCTGTGCCTTTGGTTAGATCCCAACAACTTGGAACCAAGTTTACGAAGAAATTCCATGGCCAAAAGTTAGGTATGTGGGAGCCACACCCACAAACCACCTCTGGCTCAGCTATACAAGCTCATTTATTGGCCTTATTCCAGAGACCCATAGATAATTCTCAAAAGAGACCAAAACCCAGTTAATCTCAGACCTGAGAATGGCTGAACAGACTGGGGTAAATCGGAGGGGGCAGGTTGGCCTGTGCCTGCCCAAGCAGAGCCCCCAGCAGTCACTTGCATCCACAATCCAAAATCACCACCATACTCCAGACCTGACTCCACCACCCCAGGACGGAACTCACCAAGATATAATCCGCTGAAAATTTGGGTATGTGGGTTTTGTGACTGAAATCTCCGGGCTTTCACGGAGTTGGGGTGGGCTACCTCCCCCCACTTCCCAATACATATGGAAGCACTGGCAGTCACCCCCACAATCCAACTCCAGCTCCATCCTGTAAACTTTAGTACTGGCCTTGCTTCAGAGACCCATAAATAAACCTCGAAAGAGATCAAAAGCCAGAGACACAGCAGCGAGTCCCAGAAGACACCACAGAGCCGGAGATCTCTCCGGGCCCCATACTGAGCCAATTCCACCGGGGCACCCGAGATAGAGTAGGTAGGTGCAGTCTCCCTGCTTACTCCGGATGGAATCCCAGAGACCAAGAGCTTCTATAAACAAGGCCCAGGTATGCGGGTTCCAGGACTAAATCTCCATGGCCGCAAGGCAGCAGAGGTGCTGGGCTGTCCCTCCCTGGCTTCCCACCCACTTGTTGGTCTGGCTGTCAGCCCACAATATGCCTCTGGGCGCCATCTTAGTGCATCATCAGCCCTGGTCCAGAGACGCCCAACTGAACCCCAAAATTGATTAGTGCCCTATTAGTTCCAGACATTGGAACTAATGTCTGGAACCTAGCCATTTACAATCTAGGATTCCAGAAGCACGTGGCTGTGGCACCCAAGATATTAAAAATGAGCAATGGACAATAAATGATCTAGCATCTGCCCCAGGCAGGCAGGCTTGAATGTTGGTGCGAAAATTCGAGCAAAACATAATGCCCAAAAGTAGAGAGAGACTATTGGAGAAACTGCCTGCCATGGAGGCAGGGTGAGGACTGGGACTGCGGGGGGGGGGGGGGGGGATATTCTGGGCACATTGGTGGTGGAAAGTGTGCAAGGTGGAGGGATGAGTGTTCGATCATTGTATGGCTGAATCTCGAACATGAAAGCTTTGTATCTGTAACTCATGGTGATTCAATTAAAAAGAAAGGTAATGTGGAGTTCATGCCCAATTCAAGCAGCTTAATCAATGGCTGAATAAACAGCAGTACTCCTACATTAAAAAAACAACAACAACATTGATTTAAAGGGGAAAAACTTGAATAGGCCTATAAAAGTACAAAGGAATATTGGTCTTATATTAGTAAATAATATAGGTACTGCTTATGTGTCTGCATGAATAAGTAAAAGATTGCAATGAAAACCTGTGGATGTAAGAAACTGATAAAACATACAATGTTCCATGTAAAAAAAAAAAAGCACTTGTCTGCATCCACCTATCTGAAAGTGTCAGCAGGGGGCAATGTTAAGCACAGAGCCAAGACTAGCCCCTAAGCACTGCCTGGGTGTGTCCTAAAAACCTGGAGGAAAACAAAGAAAGCAGAGCAGAGGGGTTGGGGGGGGGGGGGGGGGGGAAGGCTTATTATTTGGAAATAAAATGAGGTCATTTTATTCTATTTTAGGGATTTTTTCAAAGAGTTTTCACATATATCAACTTATCTGATCTTCAGAGCACAAATATGAGACTAAAAGGGGAAATATAACCATCATTGTTTACCAGAGAGGGAACCGGTAAAAGGTCACATGCAAAGGAGCACATGACACAAAGCAGGGACTACTGGCTTCCAACTAGAGTGCTTGATGTTCCCCTCTGCCCCAAGAAGAAAATAAGACCCATACCATGGGCAGCTCTCCAATCTGGCATACAGAAACCAGCGCCTGGCATATGATGCAATTGTCTGTCTAGCTTGAGCACGTAAGTAGTATTCAAAAAGTATTGAATGAATCATTGATGAATGTTCTAGAGTAGGTCTTTTATTTCCAAAGTCCCACTGAAATTACTGCTTTCACTAATGTATCACTGTATCATTGTCATCCCGTTATTCATCGATTTGCTCGAGTGGGCACCAGTAACATCTGCATTCATCCTGGCCCTGAGATTTTAGCAGCCTCTCCTTACTTGACCTACCCAACGGTGCTGCGTTGGAGGCTCCTTCAGTGTCAGGGGAATGAGACACATCATTGTTACTGTTTTTGGCATATCGAATACACCACGGGAGCTTGCCAGGCTCTGCCATGCGGGCAGGATACTCTTGGTAGCTTTCTGGGTTCTTGGAGAAGGAGAACTAGACTATAAGATTATAGTCTTATAAGACTATAACATTATTCAATTATAAGACTATAACATTATTCAATTCTTGGGCAATCAGATTTTCTAAAAATACTTACCTCCTCTGTCAACTTAGTGTTGGATTTTTCCAGTGCATCCACTTTAGCCTGAAGGTTGTTTACAGTAGCACTATTAGGAAAGAAAAACATGATGAGCTCTTTTGGAAAACAACACCATACCTTGTCATTTTATTTGATTTTTTTGCAGTGTTAGGAATTGAACCCTGTGACTCAAACATGTGAGGCATGTACTGCACTGCTGAGCAACATCACCAGCACCATATCTTCCTTTTATTATTTTTTAGAATTTTATTTTCTTCTTACACTTTATATAAACACTGTGGTTTACAAAGTTGTTCATGATGGGCTGGAGTGATAGCACAGCGGGTAGGGCGTTTGCCTTGCACGCGGCCAACCTGGGTTCAATTCCCAGCATCCCATATGGTCCCCTGAGCACCGCCAGGGGTAATTCCTGAGCGAAGAGCAAGAGTGACCCCTGTGCATTGCCGGGAATGACCCCAAAAGCAAAAAAAAAAAAGCAAAAACAAAAACAAAAAAAACAAAGTTGTTCATGATGATCTGTTACAGATATTCACTATTCCAACACCCTTGCACCTTCCGACCACCATTATTTCCAATTTTCCCAACCACTCCTTAAACCTATCTCTATAACAGACCCTTAATAATTTATTTTGTATTGCTTGTTATAAATAATTTGCTAAACGAACGACCAAAAAATGTTTCTGTAGAAGAAAGCTAGTGAAGATTATTGTATCTCACCACGGAACCATTAAGTATAAGAGATTACAAAGATGCTGTTATAGTGTTATAGGTTAAGTCTTCTGCACTGATATTTTGTTATGTTCGAGATTGGTTGCTTTCTACATTACATGCCATCCAATCTGGTGTGTTACTCCTGGTTTATCAGTGTTGCAGAGTTTGAGATGTCTTGCAGCCACAAATGTGGCCACACGCTCCAGAAACAGTAACTACCTTTTAAACATCAAGTTCATCACTAGTGTCTGAGATCCACATCTCATCATAGATCTATGGGGTCTAAGAAAACTAATAGGGTCTTATGTGTCTTAAATACTACATTGACACTGAGTTTGCACTCACTGAGCATTTGTCAAATGAAAAAAAATACACTGCATGGCAAATAAGCTTACTATCTATAATACAGGCTTCTCAGACACTAATCATGCTCTTAAATTATTTCACTACATCATTTCACTCTTTACAATAATCCCTCATCTTAGGTATCCTTAATTATAAAGAAAGTAAGGCATAAAGAAGATAAATAAATAATGGTTTTTTCTGTTGTTAACTATAACTACATCTTCCTTGACCAACATCTCACTAGTGCACGATAGTCACTACTAGATCTGGTCTGCAGGGGAGTGGACTCAAATTCTTTAGCAACTAAACTATAAATAATACTTAATGGATACATTAACTTTTCTGACATATTCAAAAGTCAAATTAGATAAGAACATCAACATACTTGAGAATAGCAACAGTTTAGCTAGCTCCCTTCAGGAGAGAGGAGAGCTTTTTTTCAAAACTGTTCTAGATTTGGAAAATTAAAAAAAAAATACCAAATACTTAGTAAGTTGATGGTAATGTTATGAAGAATAAATTAATATTACTAATTCCATGAACAGATGAGAAATATATGGATCTCAAAGGATATAATTAATTAGAGGTGCTAAGGCAATGCGCAGCTCCTCTACGATTACTCTAAAATCAGGTGCTTGGATCTACTAAATCAAGAGGGTCACAAATGTCAAAGTCACATATTAAGTTATTACTGAATACGTCTAACTAATCACTAGAGCTATCACATATCAATCATATGCAGCTTTTCATTAAAGGCAAAAATATATTACATTTATACAGTCCTTAGCTCAGTGGTCGGAGAGCAGGTATCCTCTTTATATTGCTGAATATTATCTGAATTTATTCTCCCTGTCCTTTTTCTCTTTTCTGTTCACTAGAACTCTAGTACAGGGACAGGAAAGACCTGAAGGGACCTCACACGTTTCACTCTCCTGATACACGGGAACCAAGCTGTAGGAACCTGACAGGCATCATGTTGAATGAAAGCCTCCAGTTTAAAGATCTAATGGCACTGATTCAGCAGAAAAATGTCTTTGTGGGTGGAGAGATAGAACAAAGGGTAAGGTACTCAACTTGCACACAGACCACCTGGGTTTGATCCACGGAATCCCATAATGTCCCCTGAGCAGCACCAGGAATAATTCCTGAGGGCAGAGCCAGGAGTAAACCCTGAGCATTGCCGGGAGTATTTTCTCAAACCCAAAAGAAAGAAAAGGAAGAAAAGCAAGTTTGGGGATTGTTTTTCAGGCCTAGGAGTACATGTGTCTGTTTGCTATGGAAAAGGTTCACACAGTAATTTCCCTAAAAGGAAAAAAATTTAAAGATTAAAGGTGAAACTAAGAACAACAACAAAAAAAAAAAAAAAAGAAGAAGAAAAAAAGAAAAACAACTCAACCCCCCAAATGTATTCATTCTTTACTTCAGATGTCTGTTGAGTTCTTCTACATAGTTCTTCTGGTCAAGAATTGCAGTAATCTGGCCATCTCTAGGGAGCACAGAAGAGAAAACTGAAGTTAAGAAAATAACATAAACAACATAAAGATCCCCCTACCCATATCTTTTTATTTTTATTACACATGAACTTATGTCTTTATCATCTGGCATTTATCAGACATATGTAAAGGATACAAAACTTTTCTTCTTGCAATTAAAAGGTAAGACTTTTTGTGTTTCTGAAATAATCTATGCTTCTACGTACAACATGAGCATTTTAAAAACTCTTAATTTTGAAAACTAAAAATAAATTAGATTTACAAGAACCATGAAAGTTGAACAGAGGTCCAAGAGTCTAAAGTCAGCTCCTCCTAATGGTAACGTTTTACACAAACTCCTGATGCATAACTAACAGAGCACACTTGAAGCAGACTGAAAATTTAATTCTTCATTCACAAACACCACATTTTCAAGTATTTAAGAGATGAACCATCATGCTCCTCTACCAATAATTTTTGTTCTGTTCATCCCTGAAGCAGATGACAGAAAAATCCCTCTATTAAAATCCTTTTATTTTTTATTTAGGGCTGGAGCGACAGCACAGTGGTAGGGTGTTTGCCTTGCGCGCAGCCAGCCCGACCGAGCCAGGTTCGGTTCCTCCGCCCCTCTCGGAGAGCCCCGCAAGCTACCGAGAGTATTTCGCCTGCATAGCAAAGTCTGGCAAGCTACCCATGTAGTATTCAATATGCCAAACACAGTAACAACAAATCTCAAAATGGAGATGTTACTGGGCCCGCTCAAGCAAATTGATGAACAATGGGAGGACACTGTTTGTTTATTTATTTATTTTTTAAAAGTTTATTTATTTATTTACTTTTGTTTTTTGGGTCACACCCAGCGATGCACAGGGGTTACTCCTGGCTCTGCACTCAGGAGTTACTCCTGGCAGTGCTCAGGGGACCATTTGGGATTGCTGGGAATCGAACCCGGGTCGGCCGCGTGCAAGGCAAATGCCCTACCTGCTGTGCGATCTCTCCAGCGCCTCTATTAAAATCCTTTTAACCAAAGCAATCTGACTGTTGGGCTGCTAGGCTCTATGTCTCCACTGAAGCTGTGTTATCAGAAGTTCTTCCAGCTTGTCTATTAAAGTAATATCGTAAACTTTAATTGCCAACAAAGAAAAAATAATTCATATTTAATTGTACATACCCTTCACTACCTTTACTGCTGTTCCCATCCTTGAGATACATTGAAAAATCTATGACTCCAACCTACAGAGAGAATTCACAGAATATAAAGTTAGATATATTTCCCATATATGTCACTTTTAAAAGCAAAATAGTCATACAGTTGTGACAATTATGAAAAATTTTGATTACAATGTAACGTTTTATACTTTTATTATAATCAAGACATAACAAGGTTTGAAAGAAATAAAGAACGAATTTTTTGTTTGTCTGTCTGCTTCTTGTTTGTTTTTGTCTTTGTGCACCCCAGCTGTTCTCAGGTCTTACTTCTAGCTTTGCATCCCGGGGGCCCTAGGTGATGCCTGGGATGCAACCTGGATAGACTGCATGCAAGGCAAGCAGATGCTCACTGCACTATCACTCTGGCCCACAAAAGAATCAAGATTAAGTCAACAGTCCTGGATGAGTACGAAAAGTCAAGAAGGGGCCGGAGCTAGAAGATAGCAAATAGGCCACTCGCCTTGCACATGGCAGCCCAAGTTTGATTCCAGACACCCTGGGTGGTCTGTCGAGCCTACAAGGAGTGATTCCTGAGTGCAGAACCAGGAGTAACACCTCTGCATAGCCGGGTGTGATCCAAAAAGCAAAAACAAAACAAAATAAAAAACCAAACAACCCCCCCCCCCCAAAAAAAAACATGATAGAGTGGGGAAAGGGAAAAAAAAGTGAGGAAAATTTGTTGTAGGATTTAGTGCAAAAGACAGCAGGGATTCAAACCGGGTTATCTGCACACTCTGCAAGACCTCAGCCAGCCCCACCTCTCTAGGCCAAGCTGCTGTTTCCTTATCAATGAAAATTAAGCCAGGAAAAAAGAGGAACTTTCTTGAAAGCTTATTTATATGCACAAAGTGAGAGTTGTATGTAGTCATAAATATATAAAATATCACTTGTCTAGTTGCAAGGAAAAAAAATCTGTGCTTCTTAATTCACATTAAAATTAAAGGATGTCCTATTTGAGATGAAGTCATGAAATTTGCTTATAAGTGGATGGACATGGAGAGTATCATGCTAAGTGAAATGAGTCAGAAAGAGAGGGACAGACATAGAATGACTGCACTCATGTGTGGAATATAAAATAACATAGTATGAGACAGACACCCAAGGACAGTAGACACAAGGGCCAGGAATACTGCCCCATAGTTGGAAGCCTGCCTCATGAGCTGGGGGAGAAGGCAGCTGGAATAGAGAAGGGATCACTAGGACAATGATGGTTGGAGAAACTGTTTGGGATGGGAGATGTGTGCTGAAAATAGATAAAGGACAAAACGTGATAACCTCTAAGTATCTGTATTGCACACCATAATGCCCAAAAGTAGAGAGAGAGTATGGGGGAAATTGTCTGCCATGGAGACAGGGGGAGGGTTGAAAAGGGGGGGTATACTGGGGACACTGATGGTGGAGAATATGCACCGGTGGAGGGATGGGTGTTTGATCGTTGTATGACTGCAACTCAAACATGAAAGCTTGTAACTATATCTCATACTGATTCAATTAAAAATAATAAGAAGAAAATTAAAAAATTTTTAAAAAAAAGATGTCCTATTTATGACTCTCAGAGCTTCCTTTGAATTGTCTGGTATAATGTAATGCCAACTAACTTAAGTGATTTTGAGATAACAAATCAGAACAGCCAAGAATCTTTCCCATACCTGAGAGTCCAAATCTTCTCCTTTCATACAGAAATTGGCATCAATGACATTCAAACCCACCAAGAGACCAGCGATTATGGCTCCTTCTTCTTCCATCATGAGAGCATTGGGTTCATAGAATTCACTGTAAGAGAAATCCACACACTGGTCTACTTTGATAAAGATCTCAACAATCCAGAGATGTTAATGACCAAATGGTGATTATTCCATAGATGCAAGAATGGTTCAATATGTACAAATCAATCAGTGTATTACAGTGCATGAAAAAAAGAAAACAACAATCATGATAATACCAATACATGCTAAGAAAGCATTTGACAAGATCTAGTATCTCTTAATGATAAAATGTCTCAACAGAATGGGTCTAGAGGGAAGATATCCCACCATAACAAAGGTCATATACTATAAACCCAGTCTTTTATTTTATTATTTACTAGTTGGGCTGGAGCGATAGCATAGTGGTAGGGCATTTTTGCCTTGTGCACAGCCAGCCCGGCCAAGCTGGGTTCGATTCCTCCGCCACTCCCAGAGAGCCCGGCAAGCTACCGAGAGTATCTCGCCCGCATGGCAAAGCCTGGCAAGCTACCCGTGACGTATTCAATATTCAAACACAGTAACAACAAGTCTCAAAATGGAGACATTACTGGGCCCGCTTGAGCAAATCGATGAACAACGGGAGGACAGTGATAGTGACAGATTTACTAGTTAATTTATTTTTGGGTCGCACACAGTGATGCTCAGGGGTTACTCCTGGCTCTGCATTCAGGAATTAGTCCTGGCAATTTGAAAGGGGGGGACAATATGGGGTGCCAGAGATTGAACCCGGGTCAGTTGCGTGCAAGGCAAACGCCCTATCTGATATATTATTGCTCTGGCCCCCAATTTTTCTCTTTTCCTTTTACTTTTTTAAATGATAATGATTATCATCACAATAAATACAGAAAACTTAAATAAAATACTACTCCATTAAGAAGTTACTAGAGGAGCCAGAGCAATAGTTTAACAGGCAGGCCATTTGCCTAAGACGCAGCCACCCGGGTTCAGTAAGTACCCAGCATCCCATATGGTCCCCCAAGCACCACCAGGAGTGATTCCTGAATGCGGAGCTAGGAGTAACCCCAAAGTATTGCTGGGTGTGACCCAAAAAGCAAAAAAAAAAAAAAAAAAAAGCTACTAGAGGGACTAGAGAGAGTGCTCAATAGCTCAATGGGCTGAGCATGGCTTTGCATGTGGGAGGCCTTAGGAGTAAGTCCTGGAACTGCAAGGTCCCCTGAGCACCACTAGGAGTGACCCCTGAGCAATGACATAAGAGCAGTCGCTGCAGTGAATTCTCATATGCAAACAGGACTGCACTATACCACTGATGTTCCACTGTACATTGATAGCTTGAGCGGGCACCAGTAACGTCTCCATTGTGAGACTTGTTGTTACTGCTTCTGGCATATCGAATATGCCACGGGGAGCTTGCCAGGCTCTGCTGAGCAGGCAGGATACTTTCAGTAGCTTGCTGGGCTCTCCAAGAGGAACGGAGGACTTGAATCTGGGTCGGCCGCATGAAAGGCAAACGCCCTACCTGCTGTGCTATCGCTCCAACCCACATGCAAATAACGAACAATAAATTAAGAAAACGATTACATTTATAACTGCATACAAAAAATTTAAATGCACAGAAATAATTTTAATGAAGGAGGTGAAAGACCTATACAAGAAAACTGAGATACTTATGATTAAAAGACAAAATAAGACATATGAGAGGGAAAGACATTCCATGTACACAGAGGGGAAAATATAGCCAAAATGCCCACTTAGCCAAAAACACTGCACATATTTAATTAAATACCAATCAAAATTATAAATGGAATTATTTTCAAATAGTAAACTAAAGCAGTAAGAGAGACAGCCTTCCCCCCCCCAATTTTAAAGAAAATCACTTCAGTACAATGATCTAAACCAGTGTCATCACATTTTAAAATTGTTGTTAAAAATGAGGTTCTTGCCAAATTCTACTCAAATTTGTATGAAGTAATTAAACTCTGTAAACAGCCAAAGCAATTTTGAAAAAAAAATTAAATAAAATCACACTTCCTGATATAAAATTATACAACAGGGGCCGGAAAGACAGAATAGCAGGTGGGCACTTGCTTTGCTCACAGCTGACCTTGGTTCAATCCCTGGCAATCACCAGGAGTGAGCCCTGAGAGCAGAGACAGGAGTAAGCCCAGAGCACTGCTGGGTGTGGCCCAAAACAAACAACACAGAAAAAGGCAGACTCTCAGACCACCGGACAAGTCTCAGAGCCTAGCGACAAGCCCTCGGCTACTGGCAGTTAGCTACGGCAACAGAACTGAAAGAGGCGTGAGGAAAGCCCCTTCCACAAATAGTGTCGGGAAAACCCAATAGCCACATATTCAAAAATGAAATTGTATATGCACAACATACCATCCACAAAAGTTAATTCAACATGGATTAAAGACCTTGAGAGTTGGCTAAAATCTATAAAATACATCGAGGAAAATACAGGAAGAATTCTTGAAGATTCCCCTTCAATGATTTGACTCCCTTGGAAAGATAATAAAATAGAAATAAACAAATGCAACTACATTAAAGAGAAAAAGTCACGAAAGAAACTCAGGCTAAAATAAAAAAGACACCCTACTTAATGGGGAAAATATCTGCAAAACATATATCAGATATAGGGATGATTTCAAACCTATATAAGGCACTCAAAAAGCTCAATTTAAAAAAGTAAATAAAAGCCAGTAACTCCCACAAAAAGACGGTGAGAGTAGATAAAATGACAGTCTGCCAAAAAAAGGTCTGGTTTTAGCCAGTAGGTATATGAAAAAATATTCTATGTAAGTTATTAGGAAAATACAAATCAAAACAACGAGATATCACCTCGCACCAGTGAGAATGGCATATATCATAAAGACCAGAATAATCAGTATTGGCTGAAAGCGGTGAAATAAAAATCCATTTTCACCGTTGGTGGAAATGTCATCTGCTTCAAATCTATGAGAAACAGTCGGAAGACTTCTCAGGGAAGTCAGTATAGCGCTTCCATATGATCCACGGGACCAGAGTGACAGTGCAGTCGGGAGGGTTTTTCAAGCAGCACTAAGTTGTTTGCTACCAGCACCACAGATGGTCTCCCAAGGCCTGCCAGGAAGAATTCCTGAGTGCAGTAGCCAGGAGTATCCCCTGCGCCTCACAGGGGTGGCCCACAAACAAACAAACAGACAAACAAACAAACAAACCCCAAGCCTATGACCCACAGGGTGTACTTCTTGGACTGTACCATCAAAAATACAAAAAAAAAACCACATCAATTCAGATTAAGTACAATAGCTAGGTTTTGGAAACAGCCCAACAACTGATGAATGGATACAGAAACTAAGGCATGTGCGCACACGTATGTGTGTGTGTGTGTGTGTGTGTGTGTGAGAATATTACTCAGATATAAGGAAAGAATATTGCAGTTTGCTGCAACTTGGATGGAACTGGAGAGCATCATGTTAAGTGAAATAAGGAAGAAGGGCAAATACCAGATGGTGTCACTTACACAGGAGATATAAACAACAAAGTACTGAACATTGACAAACCCTTGGCACTGGATTACAAAAGTAGATCCACCCAGCAGCGGTAGGGGACTGTGGCGGGGAAGAGGTGACATAAGGATAGTGGTGTTGGGTGTTGGGCACTTCGGTGGTGGTGAAAGTGTAGTAACCTTGCACTTGGGGGAGCTTTTGAGAAAAAACTGGTGGTGACAGGCCTTGGGGGTGAGGTGGGGGCCATAAAAGGTCATGCGTTGCTGGGATCACACCCAGGACCTTATACAGGCAAGTCACATGTTCTAACAAGCTACACTTCCTTTTCATTATTAAAATGTCTCTTGAAGAACAGAAACTGTCCATCTAAACGTAGACCAATTTATTCATCTCCTCCTACATGGTATTTTTTTTTACGTCTAAGAAGGTTATGATTACCTTATAATATCCTTTGAAAGATTTATTATTTTTTTCTACCATTTTTATCTGAGATCCTTCTGGAAGTTTCTGTGTTTGAACTTTAAGGTCAGTTTCCTGTCTTCTAGGTACATGCTAAGATGTGAAAAGCCTCTTTTCTGGAGATGGTACCCTAGAAGACTAAACAAACTAAACACACCTAATGTAAAAATATCCCTTGATATGTGTGTGGGAGGTATGTGGGAAAAGGTATCATTTTAGTTGAAGGATGTGGTGCATCAACATTTTCATTTACAGAAATGGTAAAATATATAATCTAAAAGAATATGATGTAGAACAAAGAAAGAAACAAAGTTGATCATACCTGAGAAGTTCCTTTTTATTGATCAACGCTTTCATATACTCTGAAAGTTTCTTTTGCATTAATGCCAAACGAAGCCATGCTCTTCCTCTTCCTACTGGTGTCCTACAAAAACACAAATACTAAAACATCTAAGAGTAGCAGAGAAAGGGATCACGGGGTTGCAAGTTCTCTTAATCTTGCTAAGAGTTGCAATACAAGGCACTCTGTGAAGACTAGTGGAAATTGGAGGTTGTATTTGAGACAAATGCTTCCGTGAAGAATTAAATTGCTAAGTGACTACATAACTGAAAGACAAGACTTCAGGGATCTCAAATTTGTTACCACATAAATTCGATTAACAGTACATTTGATTACTAACCCTCATAATTATGAGAATTTATGTATAATCCTCAAACATCTGATGTGAAACATATATGCACCCAAGTAATAACGCAGGCACAGGTCATTGAGATTTCCATCGCCTGATTAAAATTTAGCCAGTATAATTGGGAAGGGGAATTATTACTCATTTTCAGGTGCTCAGGCAAGGACATTGGGTTCATTTGACAACACTTAGATCTTGACTCCCAAATTCCAAACACTATTTTTTCCTAAGTCCCCTTCACCCCTCCCTAGATCTAATTTCACGAGATTCACTGATCTTACTAGAATCTTAAAAAAGAAACACTTCTCCCTGATGGGGATACTTCTCAGTAGTCTATATTCTCTTATAGTTGTGCCCATTCAAAACAACATACTGCATATTGATTGTTAAGAAATAAATTATTATAATCATTATAACTTTTAGTCTCCCTCTTCAAGGATATAGATAATAAAAATGTTTTTTTCCTGAGAAATAGAATTCAACCTTCAACTTACTTAAGTCCTGGAAGATCTTTGACACTTGCTGTTATCTCTGCAGCTTCTGGAACAAGTTTTTCTACGAGTTCTAGAGGCCCCCAAAAAGATTTGTTTTGTCCAAGGAAAGTTTTCTTAGCTAAGGCAATAAAAACAAAGCAATATTTTAATAACTTTACATTACAGACACACCCTCAATACCTATAGAAACATGTACACAACCCACAACACTCTAATTGAATCAATGCACATCCATGGAACTAATTAGATTAGCAAAAAGTTCTAACATTACTCATACTTTCAAAAATTAACATTCTGTCAGAAACAAACAAAACCCCCTCCTTCCAAGACTAAATTCATTCCCTTTTAGTAAGAATTTAAGGACCAGGTCTACATTTTGTTACTGTAGTACAAAAGTAGCTATGTGGTATTAGTAAATAAAGCAGTTCTGTAGGGAAAAGAAAAATCCCAAATAACTATACATTCCAGGCTACCAAAGATTGGAAAGTGAGGAGGAAAGGAAGGCTAGATGAAGAAGACCTGGGCCTCCGTTTTATGGGTCATCAGATCAGCAGATGTGAGTTCTAGCATTTGCTCTGCCCCCACTCACTGTGTGAACTTGGGCAAATTACCTCTCGTTTCTACCTGTCAAACAGAACTGCAGCACTGGACTAGTTACTTGTTCTTTCAGCTCAAGCTTTTGACGATTTTTTCAAGCTCTCTTTAAGTGCAAAAAGCCAACCATATCTCTATGCCCACTTGCAGCCTGCATTCTGCCTGGCTTACTATTTCTAACTTAAGGCTCGTATTCATTGGCTTCGCAGGAATGTTCTCTGCCATGAGGATGGATTACTAGGAGGTCGCAGCATGCACACTCGCATTTGGAGGTCGTGGCTTACCTTTCAAGCCATGTTTCAGGCAATGCTCCATGACCACAAAGAACTGTTGCAGAGGCGCGTAGTCGGAGTCCAGAGTCCTCCCGAGGTTCAGAGCTGACTCAATCAAGCCCTTGATACTCAGCTTGGCCATGTTCATCAGGTTCATGCGTTCGTTAGCCATGAGATAATTGGGATCTGCAGCCAAAGGAGAAGAGGGGAAAGCCTGGTTACTGGAAACTGCATTGTAAGATTCAGTATAACTTCACTGTGCTGGCATTCACAATCATGGCACAAAAGCACTGGTGATTATTGGCGTCCTGGCAAGACTCAGAGCAGCATCACCAAATAATGCTCTTTGTTAGCGTTGCTGCTTTTTCTTAAAAGTCAGTTCCCCTTAGAAATATCCCTGACAAAAAGGCAAAACTTACTTAAAAAAAGAAAAATCAAACTGTGTGCCTGAAATAGTCTTGCAATACTTCCACCACCCTAACTTGGCTGCCCGTTATCATTCCCCGGTACACAGTCTTCACACTATTCTCTCTGCTCCCACACATTCCCACATCTCCCCTCATTCTCTACTCAAGTGAAATGCTATAGAAAGGAAAGCTAGAGTAAAAATAAGAGGACAAAGTACTTAGAGATTCTGTTCCACTATTTGTACACACAGGTCCGAAACAACTGCTTCAAGACCAAACTTCACACAAGTCAGACTCTGCATTTGGAACTAACAAGAAAACTACTGTTCTTTTCACTTAGACACGTGCATCCTCCAAGGCATCAATACATGAAATTCTTATAAGGTAAAGGTAAAGGTAAAGGCCCTCCCGTTGATCGTCGATTTGCTCGAGCGGGCCCAGTAACGTCTCCATTGGAGACTTTGTTGTTACTGTGTCTGGCATATCGAATACTCTCGGTAGCTTGTGACTAGAGCATCTATATTTTATGTTTTTTTTTCTTTTTGGGTCACACCCGGCGATGCACAGGGGTTACTCCTGGCTCTGCACTCAGGAGTTACCCCTGGCGGTGCTCAGGGGACCATATGGGATGCTGGAAATCGAACCCGGGTTGGCCACGTGCAAAGCAAACGCCCTACCCGCTGTGCTATCTCTCCAGCCCCGAGCATCTATATTTTAATTTCCTTAGGCAAATTAGAAGTATATGCTAAATATGATAATACATACCAATGCCTGCATTATGAGTAGTAACACAAAATATGATTTTTGAGCCGCACCCAGTGGTGCTCAGTGCTTTCTCCTAGCTCTGCACTCAGGAATCACTCCTGGTGGGGCTAAGGGGGCCATATGGGATGCCAGAAACTAAACCCTGTTGGTTGTGTGCAAGGCAAATGCCATACCTGCTGTATGTGAGTCCCCTAAAACATGATTTTAATCTAACTTTCCCAAGTTGTTTTCTTCATACTGTTTTTATTTATACCTTGTTTTCAGCTAAATGCGCAAAATGAAATGGTTTGATTCTAAACTCATCAATCTTCTCTATTAAATTTAAAGTTCCAGATATACATTTACTATAGCAATAATTTTAGAGAAATATTTCATTATGAAATTCAAAATTAAAAGAATTAAGGTCAAAACTGTCTTGAATTCTTTCTTGGAAACCAAGGGATGCTTTTGGGATTGTGTCTCTAAAGTGGATATATCAATAACCAAGACTAGAATAAGCTCACAAAGGGATCACTGAAATACATAACACACATGCATCTACATGTGCACACACAAGCACATACACAAAAAACCCCTAAAAATCAGCCACGAAGAATAAATTGTGCAGATTGCAATTTTGAGCATCACCGGCACTTACTACATCTGACTTGCATAGTCATTTGGAGAAAGAAATACAGGGCAGATATGACAGCATGCACAAACGTTTGCAGAGAGCCACTGTACTCTCCAACAAATGGCAAGAAAATGTGGAATTCGATAACTAGCAGCCCATAAGATACCTGTCTCAACCGCTGACCACTAATTTCAGGGAGCTAACAACATCAAGCACACCCGTTTATAACCTGATTTCCACCTGGTGAAGAGTAGTCACAGGGGCACTGGATTTGGAGTATGCACAACACACTTTGAGATATTTGTCTAGAAGGAGTTATGTATTTCATTTTATTTTATCGCTGGTGGTGGTGCTGGGGATCACATCCAGGGCGATCTATACAAGAAACACTATATTCCACCACTGAACTATATTCCTGGCCTTTTTGTGCTCTGCTTTTGTGTTTTCCCTAGCAACAATTTGAGAATCAGGCAGCATCCCACCAGCCAAGTAGTGGGGCTGTCAGAAGCAATGATGCACTTACACCAGTCTAGTCTATTCTAGAATGATATTTAGAACTAACCTGATATTAAAAATGGGGTGCAGGGACCAGAGAGATAATACAGTGGCTAAGGCATTTGCACTGCACATAGCCAACACGGGCTTGATCCGTGGCACACGGTAAGGTCTACCACACATGATCCCTGAGAGCAGAGGCAGGACGAAGCCCTGCGCACAGCCGGTACGGCCCCTAAATCAAAATGAAGTGGGGGAGGAAATGCAATAACGACACAAGGCCATAAAGAAGTTCACCAGCAGGTAAAGCTGGGTTTTTCTTTTCCCCTCAAAAGCAATGGTTTCGGTTATGTGAGCAGTAGGCCCAGGAAACATTTATGTGGTTCTCTAGGTACTGTTTCATAATTTTCACTATAGAAAGTTAAACGAGCTCTTGGGGCTGGAGAGAGTGAAGGGAAAAGATTATTTACCTTGCACACCGATGACCCAGGTTCAATCCCCGGCACTACATATGGTCCCCTGGGCGTCCTGAGCACCGCCGGTGTGGCCCAGCCCCCCACAGAAAAAAATAAAGGAGCATGGATTTTTCTTGAAAGTTATTATTTTAATGTGAGGTGTAATGTCACAGATTCGAATTTTAGGAAAGTTATTTCAGCAGCCTGGAGTAGAACAGACAGGAATGGTGCGGGAGCCCAAAGCTGAGGGACAGATGTCCTTCAATATCCGAACAAAGAATAAGGGCCAGACGCCAGCAGTGGGTGCGCTGGGCGCTGAGGGTGCTCTGGGCAGAGCGCTTGGACTTCAGACTTGACCACTAGGGCATAAGGGAAAAGGCAGCTTGGGAAGTGACTCCCGCATGTCTTGTTTTGGGATGAGAAGGACAAGAGTGCCAATTGCTAACGAGGACTACGCAGACTAAAGAAACATGAACAGTAGAAGATAAAGAGAACAATAAATCGTATTAACTGGCTTCTCAATCAGTTCTTTCAAGAGCTTGTGGGTCTAAATTTGTATCACTTCAATGAAGTAAAAATTATCCGATGAGGGCAAATGAGTGTTGCAGAGCTATGCGGTCCGTGTAGCTAGTGAAGGCCAAAGTAAGTGCAGTCACAAAGCTGCGAGTGACAGCAAGTGTCAATTTTCTGCAAACTGCCATCTGACCAAGACCCCATTTTAATTTTTTTTTCTTTTTGGGTCACACCCGGCGATGTTCAGGGGTTACCCCTGGCTCATGCACTCAGGAATTACACCTGGCAATGCTCGGGAGACCATATGGGATGCTGGGAGTTGAACCTGGGTCGGCCACATAAGTGCAAGGCAAACGCCCTACCTTTGTGCCATCGCTCCAGACCAACCCCCCCCATTTTAACTTTTGATGGTGCGATGTCTAATGCTCAAACAGCAACATCCTAAACTGCCTAGGCATAACTGAGGGGAAAAATAAAGTCTATTTAACATCATGTTAATATTAAATGTGTTGCATCACACCCAATTCCAGGTAATTTTGGAATAGTTTATAATTTATACTAGCTACTTCTCAGAATTTTCTGGTTATTTGAAAAATTAAATGAGAAATAAGTTTCCATACAGAAATTTTCCCAGTGATACTTAGAAACACTAAAAGAATTAAAAATAAAAGAATTAATAAATATATGAAAAAACTTACTCTATGTGTGTGTTTAGAGTAACTGATGATCAGTAATTCTTTAAAAAACCTATTTCAAACATTTGTTCTAATTATTCTTAGAGTATAAATTTGGCCATTAAGGAGTTGTTCTTGATAGTGAAATTACTGAAAGTACTAAAAATCTTGCAATAAGACACTTTTCAACTTATCATATGACACTTATTTATATAAGAAAATTTTTACTCAATCTTCGTGTACTAAAAATTACCATTTGAGTCTTAAGAACCTTCCATGGTCTCACCCTTTCTGTCTATATATCCATTTTCATTTTAAAATTTTAGTTAATTAATTCATTATTCAGTTTTGGGGCCACACCTGGTGTGCCAAGGGAACTACATCTGCTATTGGGGATCGAATTAGGGTTGGTCAAAGAGACTGCTACACAGCAACCTCCTGTACCAGCTCGCTGGCCCTCACATCTAATTTTGTAATACCAGCAGATACATATTCCATTCAAGAATTATAAAGAGGAGATTCACTTAAGTAACATTTTTCTCTAGGATGCAACCTGTGTGGAGTCATGAAAATGTGACTCCATGAATTTATCTTCATTGAATAATCAAATATATACTTTCCTAAAACTAAACCTTAGCATCAGGAAGATTGTATCCATCCACTACTTTCAATGTGTTTGATATGTACCATATATTCATGCTAAGTGACTTATTATGTGACTCTTGGCAAAGAATCTAACCACTTTGGGCCTCAATTTTCTTCTCATCAGCAAAATGATGGGTTGAACTTGTTGAGTAACATTTTTATCTGATGGAAACCATATCCTCTCCTATCTCAACACTAATGACTTCCTATACCACTAATTCTCAAAGGAGGGGTACATTAATATTAAAGAACATGGTTTAGAAAATGCCACGAATGACTTTGACACCCACGAACTATATCCTTGCTGCTCTGGGTACTGTCTTGGAACATTAACTGGAGGAGATAGCCTGGAGACTTTTAGAAATGAGAAACCCCAACACGATTAAACTAGACTGAATTGTAACCTGATCCTAAAGCTGCTGATACATACGCATTAGTTCAGGAAGTAGCGATCTCTGACTCTCCAAGCTCTACTACACAATATCCCCTCGCATTGTCAGCTCCCCAAAGGACAACCAATCAATGTACGCACCAGTGGAAAGCTCCAGGAGTGAAGAATAATAAAGACGACAACACAAGTAAACTAACGAGTGAAAATCACCATTGGTAAAATCAGTAA